TCCTTCAAGTGCAGGCACATTACTTTCCCAACTCCAGGACTCAAGTCCGCCTGCCGTTTCCCTGAATCCCTTCATAAATGTTACTTTGCCTCACAAACCAACAGCACGTCAAGTATTCAAAAACCATTTGTCTCCTTCACTCCTATCAAACACGCTCACGCAGCCTGCTGGAAGTCCCAAGCCCCTCGCACACAAAACCTCCTTTACCCCTTTCCCTCCAACCCTTCCTAGGCCGACCCCTACCCCGCCTTCCATCCACTACAGACTGATACATACACTCTTGAAGTCATTCTGTTTCGCTCCATTCACTCTACAAGTCCCGAATCCACCTCAACAACCCTCCACAGCCCTCTGACAACAGTTTTGGTAATCCCCACACCTCCTCGCTAACTTCCAAACTACGAATTCTCCTGCATTATATTCACACCACACATTGCCCTCAGACATGACATCTCCACGCCGCCAGCTCCACGCTCGCTGCAACATTCATCACCCACTAGCTTCACACCCATATAAATCGTGGTAAAACTAACTCTCAAGACCATACCCCCTTTGCCTCCAAGACAAAGTTCTTTGGCTCCACATACTCCTAATTGCACCACTCACTCTTTTTCCCTCATCAATTCTATGATTCAACCTCAGCCTTTCATAGAACCCATCCGCGTGACGTACTCCCCACGTCCCAAAGATCTGAATATGGTTTCACGCTCCTCCATACTCTCTCCCCTCCAATCTGATATTCAATCTTTATTCATCACCAATCTTTTTATGTTATCCTCATAACCTTACACTTTCCTGTATTCACCTTTTAATTTTCTTCTGTTGCACTACCCTATGCCAAATTCATCCACCCAATCACAGAAAAAAAAAAGCAACTTCTCTTCAAATCTCCCAAGAGTCAACAGTGTCCATCAGCAAAGAGCAGCTGTGACAACTCCCACTTTGTTGTGATTCTTTATCTTTTAACTCACCCTCTTGCCAAGACACTCGCATTTTACTTCTCTTCAACCCCACTATAAATATATTAAACAACCACGGTGAAATCACACATCCTTTTCCCTAAGGCCTACTTTTACTGGGAAAAAATTTCCCTACTTTCCTACATACTCTAATATGAGCTCACTAATCCTTCGTAAAAAACTCTTCACTGCTTCAGTAACCTACATCCATACACCATACACTTGCAACATCTGCCACATTGCCCCCTATCCACCCTGTCCATAACGCCCATTTCCAATCCATAAAATGCCACAAATACCTCCGTTAGCCTATTTTTTAAAAATAAAAAATCTAAAATACTGTTCACTTTATATGTTTCGACACTGTAAACAGCCTGGTCCACACACTCCCCTACCTTTCCTAAAGCCCTCCTTGTTCATCTGTATATCCATTTCTTCTCCGTCTTACTCTTATTCTTTCAATTATAACTCTACATTACACATTACCAGGTACACTCAACAGACTTATCCCCCTATAATTTTTGCACTCTCTTTTATCCCCTTTGCCTTTATACAAAAACTATGCATTCTCTCTGGGCCAATCCCTAGGTAACCTTACCCTCTTCCATACATTTCTTAAATATTTGCACCAACCCACTTTGTCCAAAACTATATCCCCACCTGCTTTTAACATTTCTAACTTATCCCATCTCCCGCTGCCTTACCCCCTTTTCATTTTACCTACGGGCCTCACAACTTCCCCCACACTCACAACTGGCTCTTCCTCACTCCTACAAAGATGTTATTCCTCCTTGCCCTAATACACGAAATCACAGCTTCCCCAATCTCATCAACAATTAACAATTCCTCAAAATATTCCCTTCCATCTTCCCCCAATAACCTCAAACACTCCCATTTTAATAACTCATCCTCTCCATTTTTAACTGACAAATCCCTTGTTCTCTAGGCTTTCCTTACGTGTTAATCTCACTCCAAAACTTTTTTTTTAATTTTCAACAAAATTTGTTGATAAAACATTAACTCACCACTCTCTCATTTTGCTCTCTTTTTACATTGCTTCACCAACTCTCTTAACTTCTCTCTTTTCCTCCATAATACTCTTACTCTTCCCTTCCTGCAGCATCACTTCTACTTTGTAAAACTTCTCATATGCTAACTTTACTCTCCTTACTACTCTCTTTACATCATCATTTTTCCACCAGTCGCTCCTGATCACCTCCCTCCCTGCACACCACTTCCTGTTAACCACAAAACTTCCTGCTGAAACACTCTAACACTACATTTTTAAAAAACCTACCCCATACCTCTTCGACCCCCATTGCCTATGCTCTCATTAGCCATCTATCCACCAATAGCTGTTTAATATTAACCCAAAATGTCTCCTCTTAGTTTATAAACCTTCACCTCGTCTCTTCCCCTGATGCTTCTATTCTCCTTGTTATCCCATCTAACCTTTTACTCTCAGTTAGCTACAAACTAGAAAGTGGATCTGATATATCTGTGGCCCCCTCAAATAAACAGTACATCCTGAAGTTCTACTCAACAGTCCCTTTTATTCTGCCAATACATAAATCCAACAAACTACTGTCATCTCGCCCTACACATATCGTGAATACTTATTTATCCTCTTTTTTCTTAAAATGTTATGTAATACCTATAACTCAAACCCCTTTCTCTACAAAGTTTCAATCAAAGGGCTTCCCATTATCATTTTACGCACCGTGGCAACCCCCAAACTTACCTACCACACCCTCTCTAAAATTTTCTCTCTCCTACTTTAAGCTTCAAGTCCCCGAACCACAATTACTCTCTCACTTTTTTCAAAGGCTCCTATACAGTCACCTTAACATCTCCCAAAATCTCTCTCTTCCTCAGCATCCTCTCTTCTCCATGTGCATACACGCTTATTATGAACCCACTTCTCGCATCGCAACTATACTTTAATCCCACATAATTCTTGAATTTACACATTCATCTTCTACTTTTCCTCCTTCCATTAACTGATCATTTAACATTACATGCTACCCCTCCTTTGCGCTCTAACTCTCTCAGATACTCCAGATTAATCCCATTTTAATCCCCCCACTGAAACTCTCCTACCCCCCTTCTGCTTTGTTCGCTTAGGCCCAGGACTCCAACTTCTTTTTCATTCAAAAACAATCAGCTATCATCTGTTTCCTTGTCATCCGCACTACATCCACGCACATTAAAGCAACCCAGTTTTATAAAGTTTTTCTTCTTGTCACCTCCCTTAGTGGGAGACAATGTGTTAAAAAAAAAAAAATTCCTAATCCCAAAAAACATAACAGTTTTGCTTCAGCTATTTAAACCATGTGTCTACCTATCTTATATCTTAATGGTTGCATCATGAAGTATTCTCCAGCCAATTCTCCAACATTGGTGTAAAATGGCCAGTTTGGAAAAAAAAATCTAATTCCATCTGTTCATGTCAGCCTGTCACATATGTTTGGTATCTTTAATTTTTTTTTATAAGACTGTGTGAAGCATTGGCTGGAAATTTTTCATGATGCAACCACTGAGAAATATACATAGGCACAGTGTAGTGATTGTCTATTCTAGTCTTTTCTTTATTCCTTTAACCCTGGAAGGGGGTTTAGTACTTTTCCATGATCATTATTACTATTCTACTTCTCTGGCTTGACCTGAATTAGTATATTAGTATATACTTATTGAGTAAAATATTCTTATGTCTCTGATGAGGCCAATGCCCCAACACTACACAGTACAGTACCCTGCATGCTTTAACCCTTTCAGGGTCTGTCCCGTAGATCTACGGCTTTACGTTCAGGGTCCAAACCGTAGATCTATGCCATGAGCTCAGCTCACTCTGATAAACTGTGAGTGGTACATTTGGGCCTAGATATGAGAGAATACATCTATGTGGTATGTGTGCACCACATAAAACAGATCCTGCAGCACACTGTGTATAATGAGAGAACAAAAATGAAATCATGATTTTTCGATTAAAACAGCAACTTTGCAGTGTTTTTTTCGAAATGTTTTTTATAGTTGTATTTGCGATTTCTTGGTCTCATTTGATAGAATGGAAGACATATTACAGAAATAGAGATGATTTTGATTGGTTTTAGCACTGGAAATGGCTTGAAACTGAGCTCAAAGTAGCGGAAATGTTAAATTTTGCCGATATTCAAGAGTAAACAAACGACCTCACACATCTAATACACGTCAGCTGGTGGGTCTAATATACATTCACAAATATGGTGATGATATTTATACAATTATTACAGTATTGCATAACAGTAAATCTTCTATTTTGTGGTGTGAATAAAAATTCATTATGTGAATAAAAAATCAAAATGGAATTTATTTGTAAAGCCTCAAAAAAATAACTAATGAACAGAGGAAATGTTAGTTTAGTGCCAGGAATGCCTACATTGTTCATTCTGGACCCTATTTTGAAATTGGAATATTTTGAACTTTGTGTTAAATTGGCCAAATTAACAATTTCCGATCACTTTATTTTGTAGTTGAAACAGTTGACTTGGCGATTTCTGTGCTCAATCGATAGAATAAGAAGTAATACTAGTGAAATAGCTAAGAATTTGGTTGATTGGAATAATGTAATTGGCCTAAAATGGGAGTCAAAGTCGGCAAAATTTGCCGATTCGTAAATATCGCTGACACATCAAAATTCGCGAGAGCATAATTTCGTCAATTTTCCACCAAATTTTCGTACTTTTTGTTTTATTACCTTCACAAAAAGATTCCTACGATTTCATAAGAAAAAATAAAAAAATTTTTTTTTTGAAAATTCTTGGACTCTGGTGCGTGACTCCAGATTTGGGCCTTGGACCCTGAAAGGGTTAAATGGCTTAATCTTTCAGTTTTCTTAATGTTGATTTTGCACTTCTTGAAAACATCTATGTGGTGATGCTATCTTATATCAAAATATTAACGTATTCGTTATATAGCAAAGAAAATTCATATATACATTCATGTCAAACATAAAACTATTGGAATCACTATGTATAACTGATGAGTAAATAATTTTTTTTTCAGAGATAATGGACTTGCTGAAGAATTATTTAAATCTTTAAGCACCAAGGGATCTGCAGCATATGGTGCTCTGATCCGTGGCATGGCTCAGTATTACCAGGTATGCTGTAGAAAGAAGAATGCTTGCACATATATAAATAAAAACATTCTATAGACTTACCTTTATTGAAGCTGCAGATGCAAAACATTTTTTTTTTTTTTTTTTTCTCTCAACAATTTCGGCCGTCTCCCACCGAGGCAGGGTGACCCAAAAAGAAAGAAAATCCCCAAAAAGAAAATACTTTCATCATCATTCAACACTTTCACCACACTCGCACATTATCACTGTTTTTTGCAGAGATGCTCAGAATACAACAGTTTAGAAGCATACACATATAAAGATACACACATATCCCTCCAAACTGCCAATATCCCAAACCCCTCCTTTAAAGTGCAGGCATTGTACTTCCCATTTCCAGGACTCAAGTCCGACTATATGAAAATAACCGGTTTCCCTGAATCCCTTCACTAAATATTACCCTGCTCACACTCCAACAGATCGTCAGGTCCCAAGTACCATTTGTCTCCATTCACTCCTACCTAACACGCTCACACACGCTTGCTGGAAGTCCAAGCCCTTTCCCCACAAAACCTCCTTTACCCCGTCTCTCCAACCCTTTGAGGACGACCCCTACCCCGCCTTCCTTCCCCTATAGATTTATATGCTTTCCATGTCATTCCACTTTGATCCATTCTCTCTAAATGACCAAACCACCTCAACAACCCCTCTTCTGCCCTCTGAATAATACTTTTATTAACTCCACACCTTTTCCTAATTTCCACACTCCGAATTTTCTGCATAATATTTACACCACACATTGCCCTTAAACAGGACATCTCCACTGCCTCCAACCGTCTCCTCGCTGCTGCATTTACCACCCAAGCTTCACACCCATATAAGAGTGTTGGTACTACTATACTTTCATACATTCCCTTCTTTGCCTCCATAGATAACGTTTTTTGACTCCACATATACCTCAATGCACCACTCACCTTTTTTCCTCATCAATTCTATGATTAACCTCATCTTCATAAATCCATCCACCGACACGTCAACTCCCAAGTATCTGAAAACATTCACTTCTTCCATACTCCTCCTCCCCAATTTGATATCCAATTTTTTCTTTATCTAAATCATTTGATACCCTCATCACCTTACTCTTTTCCCCTGTTCACTTTCAACTTTCTTACCTTTACACACATTCCCAAACTCATCCACTAACCTTTGCAATTTTTCTTTAGAATCTCCCATAAGCACAGTATCATCAGCAAAAAGTAACTGTGTCAATTCCCATTTTGAATTTGATTCCCCAAAATTTAATCCCACCCCTCTCCCGAACACCCTAGCATTTACTTCCTTTACAACCCCATCTATAAATATATTAAACAACCATGGTGACATTACACATCCCTGTCTAAGACCTACTTTTACCGGGAAGTATTCTCCCTCTCTTCTACACACCCTAACCTGAGCCTCACTATCCTCAAAAAACTCTTTACAGCATTTTAATAACTTACCACATATTCCATATACTTGCAACATCTGCCACATTGCTCCTCTATCCACTCTATCATATGCCTTTTCTGAATCCATAAATGCAATAAAAACTTCCCTACATATTAACCCTTAAACTGTCCAAACGTAGATCTATGTTCACGTGCATAGCGCTCCGAACGTAGATCTACTTTTTTTTTTTTTACATGCTTTCAAATGTAAAAAAATAAGGTCGGAACACTACGTACATGAACGTAGATCTACGTTTGGACAGTTGAAGGGTTAAGAGAGAGAGTGATGTATAGAAATGTACTGGTATCTTTAGTAACAACCTGTGACTGAAACTACACACCTTTTTGTGTTAGTTTGACTTGATTAGTTAATGGTGCAAGTTGGACCAAAACATTGTCATAAAGCTTTTTTTCTCCCTGTGTGCAGGTTATTTTTGTATTTAAATATATGTAAATTACAACTGGTAGGTGTTTGCTAGTTTTATGACATTATTGTCTTTTGTTTTTCCTGAGGAAGACCATATGCTTGGCTTGTTAGGGGTGCAGTAATAAATATGTAAAATTTTGTATGTAATGTAAAAATTAAAATAAATTTTTAATATTGAGAAAAATAGGTTTGACCCAGCTGCCTCTCAGTCATAAGGTTGATCAGTCCTTCTGACATTTAGAGCAAAGTCCCCATCAATTCAATATAATTAGGTATTATTATAGTAACTGTTACTTATAAATACATGTTGGGTCCTATAGCCCCACTGTTGCTGGAGAAATGCAGGAAATCAGAATAAATCTTTAACCCTTTGACTGTCGCGGCCGTATATATACGTTTTACGAGGTGCCGTGTTTGACGTATATATACTCATAAATTCTAGCGGCTTCAAATCAAGCAGGAGAAAGCTGGTAGGCCCACATTTGAGAGAATGGGTCTGTGTGGTCAGTGTGCACCATATAAAAAAAATCCTGGAGCACGCAGTGCATAATGAGAAAAAAAAAACTCCGACCGTTTTTTTTAATTAAAATGCCGACTTTGTGGTCTATTTTCGTATAGTATTTTTGGTTGTATTCTCGTTTTCTTGGTCTCATTTGATAGAATGGAGAACATATTACAGAAATAGTGGTGTTTTTGATTGATTTTACTATAAAAAGAACCTAGAAATGGAGCTCAAAGTAGGGGAAATGTTTGATTTTTGCCAATGTTCAAAAGTAAACAAATGATGCCATTTTCCAATAAATGTCCAACTAGCCATTCTAATATGCAGTCATGAATGGGTTGATGTTATTTATACAGTTATTACAGCATTGCAGTAGTCTGCATAATAGTAAGTCTAATATTTTTTGTTTGAATAAAAATTCAAAATAGAAAGCAAGAGTAATATCAGAGGGGCCTGGAGACATGACTGATGAATAAAGAAAACGTTATTTTAGAGCCTGGAATGTGTGCATTGTTCATTCTGGACCTTATTTTGAAATTGTCATATTTTTTAGTTTTCGTGAAATTGGCCAAATTGCAAATTTCTGACCACATTATTAGGTAGTTGAAATCAGTAAATGGGCAGTTTCTTGTACTCAATCGATAGAAAAAATGAAGTTCTAAAGAAATAGCTATGAGTTTGGGCGACTGGAACAATGGAATTAGCCGAAAATAGGGCTCAAAGTGGGCGAAATCGCCGATTTGTAAACAGCGCCGAGGTCGCTAACTTCGCGAGAGCATAATTCCGTCAGTTTTCCATCAAATTTCGTTTTTTTGGTGTCATTACAATCGGGAAAAGATTCTCTATCATTTCATAAGAAAAAATAATTTTTTTTTTTTTTAAATTTTGCGACACCAGGAGACACCTCAGGATTGGGGGTTGCGACAGTCAAAGGGTTAAAGATATTTTTAAGCCCTGTGATATTCTGTGTTCAGTCCCTGTATATCTGGATACTACAGTGCATCTACACTGTAGTATTGGCACGTCTCTGGCAAGACAGTGATGAGTAAATGATGGTGAAAGTGTTTCTTTTTTTGGTCACCCTACCTTGGTGGGAGACAGCCAGTGTGGTAAAAAAAAAGTAATTTTGGGTGTCATATTTCCAGAGCTTCCTGCAGAAGGATAGCAGTGTGTTGTGGAGAGTAGTGATGTGTAACGTTGTCAGAAATGTGGTTGTATATTTTGGCTGTTGAAATATTGAGTTGTGTTGGAGGGTAGTGAGGGTGTGTGTATAGTGTAGTAATATCACCACCAGTTACACAGTCTACTGCCTCCCTAATAGATGAACAGACATGTCTGTAACACTTGGGTATCTAGGGGAGAGAGAGAGATTCTGCTAACCAGTGACTTTATAAATTAAAAATGACACTTAACAGACAGCATTTTTAATGATGTGGAGGAGATTCAAGCAGAATCGTATGCTGCGCTAAATGTCATTAGGAAAGAAAAGTTACAGAAATGTTTTGAGAAATGGTAGAGGTGCTGGGGTCAGTAGATAGCCTCCTAAGGAGAGTACTTCGAAAGAGACAACTTTAATTAGGTAATTAGGTAAGCCTTTTTTTTTTTCATCAGTCTGGGAACTTTCTGATAGCATCTCGTATGTATCTTAAGAACGCTGCAGGCCTTGATTTACTTTCTCATTTTGAAAAATTAAAAAATTTCAGGGGGGCCCATAAGCCGCATATTGATTGATATCCTTGACCACATTGAAGGAAAGCAGTTTGAGATTGAAGATCCTAAGGACACTTTCTTTTTTGTCACTGCCATGGATGTTAGCCGAAATCATTTACAGGTAAGGGATACTACAAAAATGTAAAGTAATGAATATTCTTAAAGGAATGATATCAGGTTACAAAGATGGGGAAAATAACCTAACTCATTTATCTATATAATATACATGTACTGGTATGCATGCACTGAAATTACAGTGGAACCTCAAATATCGAACTGCTCCCAACTCAACCAATTATGTAAGTGTATTTTGTAAGTGCTTTTGTAAGTGTATTTTTGAGGGTCTGAAATGAACTAATCTAAACTACATTATTCCTGATGGGAATAAATTCGTTCAGTAATGGCACTCGAACAGCCGTCTGGAACGAAGAAAGTTCGATATTTGAGGTTCCACTGTACTTGGTGTATATTATAGTATTTGAAATGTACATTATCTGTTATACAGTATACAGCCTCTCCTCACTTAATGATGGAGTTCTGTTCCTAAGACTACATTGGAAAACGAATCGTCACTAAGTGAGGAGCATACTATAATTGTAGTGGGTTTGTGTCAACCATCTTTGATATTGTTTTAATGTCACCTTCGCACCATTTATAACATTTTTAGTATATTTTTAAATGTTTATACAGTAGTGTACTGTACGGTGGTACCTTCACTTATGAGTGCCCAACTTACGAGTTTTCCAAGTTACGAGTTGTCGCTCGGTCGATTTTTTGCTTTGAGTTGCAAGCCAAAATCCGAGTTACGAGTGAGCTTCAGATAAGCCGCCACTAATTGGCGGCGTATCTGAAGTCAAATCCAACTCTGTACCCAGAGGAATGTCAGGTACTTCGTCCCATCCCACATGCTCTTTCAAGACATAGCTGGAAGGATAATATTCCCACACTAATTCCAGATTGCAGTGAGGCACCTCGTCCATTGTTTGGTTCTCGTATAAATCCGGGGAAGAGGTAACCTCCATTTCAACACTCAGGGTTTCTCCAGAAACGTTAAGGAAGGCCTCCGTGATGTTTACCTGCCTCACAGAGGTTCCTTCAATGGGTGGAGTACTGAAAGTGGTGGGTGAAGTAGTGATGGTGGTGGGTGGAGTAGTGATAGTGGTGGGTGGAGTACTGATAGTGGTGGGTGGAGTAGTGAGGGTGGTGGATGGAGTAGTGATAATGGAGGATGGAGTAGATATGGTGGTGGGTGGAATAGTGAGGTTGGTGGATGGAGTAGTGATAATGGAGGGTGGGGTAGATATGGTGGTGGGTGGAGTAGTGAGGGTGGTGGATGGAGTAGTGATAATGGAGGATGGAGTAGATATGGTGGTGGGTGGAATAGTGAGGTTGGTGGATGGAGTAGTGATAATAGAGGATGGAGTAGATATGGTGGTGGGTGGAGTAGTGAGGGTGGTGGATGGAGTAGTGATAATGGAGGATGGAGTAGATATGGTGGTGGGTGGAATAGTGAGGTTGGTGGATGGAGTAGTGATAATGGAGGGTGGGGTAGATATGGTGGTGGGTGGAGTAGTGAGGGTGGTAGGTGGAGTAGAGATGGTGATGAGGGGAGTAGTGAAGGTGGTAGGTGGAGTAGAGATGGTGGTGGGTGGAGTAGTGAGGGTGGTGGATGGAGTAGTGATAATGGTGGGTGGAGTAGATATGGTGGTGGGTGGAGCAGTAAGGGTGGTGGGTGTAGTAGAGATGGTGATGAGGGGAGTAGTGAAGGTGGTGGGTGGAGTAGAGATGGTGGTGGATGGAGTAGTGATGGTGGTGGATGGAGTAGTGATAATGGTGGGTGGAGCAGATATGGTGGTGGGTGGAGTAGTGAAGGTGGTGGGTGGCATAGTGAGAGTGGTGGATGGAATAGTGATAATGGTGGGTGGAGTAGAGATGGTGGTGAGTGGAGTAGAGATGGTGGTGGGTGTAGTAGAGATGGTGGTGGGTGGAGTAGTGAAGGTGGTCCTTATTTAAAAACCCGTAACCAAAAAATTGGGGTGTTTTTTGGGGGGCTGGAACAGATTAACAGCATTTCAGTTAATTTCAACGAGGAAAATTGATTTGATATACGAGCAAACTGAGTTACGAGCTCAGTCACAGAACGAATTAAACTCATAAGTCGAGGTACCATTGTATATTGTAATAAACAGAACAGAGGAAATCAGCTCTAATATACATTATTTAGGTACACATACTGGTCAGAGAGCCCATCATAAGTCTAAGTCATCGGTAAACCAGTATGTTGCAAAATGAGGAGAGGCTGTATTTGAAATATGCATTCTCTAAATTTTAAAACCATTCTATATTTCTTCTTATGTGCTTACTTCTCTATTACAAGTTTCCTCATTTCCATAGTCAATTATTTTTTCAGAGCCTGGAAGTGGCCCAGCGCGTAGATAAGTTGCTACACACTGGAAACAATTATTGTTTAATTGGAGACTCTTTTAAAGAGTCCATTTACTAGTAAGTAAATTTCACATGTGGACAGATCAATGACTTGGTCTCTTGTATTGATATTATTGAATTTATGTTGTCTTCAGTATTTTTTAAATAAGATCATTGAACTAACAAATTTTGTAAATATATATATTTCTTCATGGGAAAGTGGAACAGAATTCTTCCTCCTTAAGCCATGCGTGTCGTAAGAGGTGATTAAAATGCCGGGAGCAAAGGGCTAGTAACCCCTTCTTCTGTATACATTACTAATTTTAAAAAGAGAAACTTTCGTTTTTCTTTTTGGGCGACCCTACTTTGGTGGGATATGGCCGGTTTGTTGAAAGAAGAAGATATATTTCTTTAAAATTTGTAAGCTTTGTAGAAAACTTTTTTTTTTAAGTTGTAAGTCAGTATAAAGCATATTTTTCTCTTCGCAGTCGTCACTATTTTGCATTGGCCTGTTCAACGCTGATTATTGAGGACTTCATGGAAATATACAATGATTTGGTGCCTCATATTTATACCCCAGAGCCTGGGGTTATGGAGGTAAATAAGAACTGCTGAATATTTATGTTTTGAAGTGGTTTCCTTTTGTTACAGCACTTCATTTACTTTCATCTTGTTACATAATCCCAGCTACACCAGTTGTGCACCGTGTCCTCCAAAACTCAAGTTCTGCTAGCCTGTTTCCTTGCCCCTCTTAATACTACTACAATACTACTATCACACATGCCTACTAAACCTTCTTGGGTACTCCCTACACTACTTTTTACCTTATGGGTTTACCGCTTTCCATGAATATATGTACACGATATTGTATAACCCTTTATCCAGGGAGAGGACTGGGTGGGTTGCATTTTATTAGATTCCAAGAAGGCATTTGATTCTGCACCCCAAAAGAGACTGGAACAAAAAGTTGAGGTGTAAACAGGAAGAGAAGATAATGCACACTGATGGATCAAAGAGTACCTTGGGCAAGAAGCAGAGTGATTATCCAGGAAGAGATGTCAGAATGTGGAAGAGTAGCGTGTGGGGTTTTGTAAGGATTGGTATTAGAACTAGTATTGTTTCTGGTTAATATGAGCTACATAGCAGAGGGGATTGAGCCAGATATATCAGGTCATTTGAATCGTGATGAGTGCATGCTTCTGGCAAGATAGCTACTGAATGAGTAATTGTGAAAGTGCTTCCTTTTTCTGGGGTAACCCTACTCCAGTGAGGGATACACTGTGTGATAAAAAAAATATTCCCATTATTAATTACAGTATGCAGTAATACCCTGCTTTCGTCATTAATACATTCCATAACGCCGGCGGAAATCCGAAATGGACAAAAACCGAAGTAATATTTCCCACGAGAAATAATGTAAATCCAATTAATCTGTTCCAGACACCCAAAAATGTTAACAAAAAATACATTTTATAGAGAATAACTATAGAAAAAATAATGAGAAATAAATATAAAGTACGTACTAATTTTAATGGATAAATGAACATTGAAATCAGTTTTACCTTTTTTGAAGACTCTTGTTGGCATATTCTTTATGAGATCCGCATGCAACTGCCTTGCCTTTTCACAAATTATCGCCTCCACAACGCTATCTTCCGCTAACTGTTTTTCGTTGATCCACACCAACAACAACTTCTCGACATCTTCGATTGTTTGCCATCACTACCACCCTCTACCTCAATCACAACCACCCTCTACCACCATCACTGCCACCCTCTACCACCATCACAACCACTACCATGCTCTACCACCATCACAACACTACCACCCTCTACCACCATCACACCCACTACCACCCTCTACCACCATCACTACCACCCTCTGCCACCATCACTACCACCCTCTGCCACCATCACAACCACTACCACCCTCTGCAACCCTCTACCACCATCACTACCACCCTCTACCACCATCACTACCACCCTCTACCACCATCACTACCACCATCACTACCACCCTCTACCACAATCACTACCACCCTCTACCACAATCACTACCACCCTCTTCAAAGGTAGTGATATTTCTCCATGAAACTTTGCAGCTCATTCTATGAGTTCTTTCTTGAATTCTATCATGTTTCTCACCTTTACCAAGGGGCTGGCACTCTGAACTTTTTTTGGCCCCATGGTGGCTTATTTCACAAGCACAAAACAATGGATGAACGTGTGGAGTATTGCTACCTCAACTACCAGACTGAGTGTGGTATGTGTGAGAAGCGGCATCCTGGGCGGGTGGACACATCTGATATGGACGATTTCTGAGCGGATGTATGAAACCCGGGGGAAAATTTCGCTGGAAAAAGTGCTCGAAATCCGAATTGTACGATTTCCACATCGAACGAAAACCAGGGGTCCATTGTAGTGTATTATTATTATTGTTATTTTCATTTTATGTTTTACCTCAGCAACCGTCTGCCAGGGCAGTATAACCGAAAGTAACACATTCACCATCATTCATTCGGTTACTGTGTTGTCAGAAGAGTGCTGACATCACAGTTCAGATTACCCTCCAAATACAACATCCTCATCCCTACCCTCCTTCAGAGTGCAAGCACTGCCCTTTCCGCCTCCGGGACTGAAGCCGTCTAGCTGGTTTCCCTTAAATTCTTTCATAATGTTATGTTGCTCACACTCCAACAGCACATCCATTAAAAACCACTAGTCTTCATTCACTCCTGTATAACACACTCACTCAAGCCTACTGAATACTCAAGCCCCTAAAACTCTATTATTATTATTGGTAAATAATAAAAATAATCCCAGGTAGTAGGTTGGTAGACAGCAACTGCCCAGAGAGGTACTGCCTGGCCTGCCAGTGGATTATAAAACAAAGCCTGTAATTGTTCTACAACGATGGTAGGATTGTGAGGTCTTTTTTCTGTCTCGTAAACTTGCAACATTTCAGGTACGTTTTGCTACTTCTACTTACACTTAGGTCACACTACACATGCATGTACAAGCATATATATACACACCCCTCTGGGTTTTCTTCTATTTTCTTGCTAGTTCTTATTCTTGTTTATTTCCTCTTATCTCCATGGGGAAGTGAAACAGGATTCTTCCTCTGTAAGCCATGCGTGTTGTAAGAGTTAACTAAAATGCCAGGCACAAGGGGCTAGTAACCCATTCTCCTGCATAAATTACTAAATTTAAAAAGAGAAACTTTTGTTTTTCTTTTTGGGCCACCCTGCCTCAGTGGGATACAGCCAGTTTGTTAAAAAAAAAAAATCAGAAATATACATTGAACCTGTATGGGTCATATAGCAATAGACTTTTGGTGGGAAATAGCTGTAAACATTTCTTTTATATAATGATTTGAACATATATTAAAAATTTCCTCACAGGAAGTGATGAAGGCAATAAGCACTCATGAGGCCTTCGAGTATTTACCCCAGCTGTGGTCAGACATGATAGTATTTGAACACACATCTCGAGATCGTCTCCTTTCACTTGTATTGTCAGTGCTTACCAAGTATCAGCCATCAGAGGAAAATAAACAGCTTACCAAGCAGCTGGCAACCATTGCTTGGGATGTATGGACAAGAGTACAGGAACAAGATGAGACCAGACATAATAAGGTAACAACTGTTTGTATAATATTTAATGACATTTTACTTTCAAAACAGATATTATATTGATGATCTTTCAAAGCTTTGGATGTGAATTTGAATTTTGAATATACAGTAGACCCTTATGCATATTACACTGTGGTTACGTTCCTGAAAATGCCGTGTTAGATAAATCCGTGTTAGATAAACTATAGACCTTATGGTAAAAATAGGGTTACATTCCTGGGAGCCCCAAAAAAGCCAAACAGTTTTTTTTTTTTAGACTTCCAGATCTTACAAAAATAAAAGTGAATATGTAATTTTTGTTCATTGTCTTGATGCATTATGCTGATTTTACTGCTTAAAACTACAAATGCAACAGAAATAATAGTATTTCTTACCTTAAGCTGTGGGTGCTGGTATTTGTCAATAATTGTGAAGAGAGTGGAGAGTTACGCTGTGGTCCTACTGGGCTGAGGTGGATGGTAGAGGTTCTGGTACTGAAGTTGATGGTTGTACTGGAGTGTGCATAAATTCTGTAATGGATTTCGGGGTTATTTTACCTTGTAGTACATTATACAGCTGATGGTAAGGCATCAGCTGCTCTAGAACCCATTTCAGAGCACTGCTTCTAGATTTGTCAGGGTTCTCTTCAGCGAAAAAGTCTAACTTTAATTCAGTAAGTCAAGTCAGTCAGTCAGTCAGTCAGTCAAGTCAGTCAGTAAGTCATTTAAGTCAGTCAAGTCAATCAGTAACTCCAAGACTTAAACACTTAACCCTTTTCTTGCCACTTTCAGCAACACTTGTGTGCCTACTGGGTGCCATGATTGCTTGGCAGATACAAGATATGGCAATTAAAATATCAAAACACAATCCACACACACAGCTGGCTCCTAGACACGCATGAACGGAAGGTTGGGATGGGGGTGGCAGGGGATGGTGGTATGTCTTCCCCATGGAGACAGTGGTCTCACCCACAGCAAGGCGGCTGCTGGAGCTAGGGAAATATCCCACAGGTGACACTCCAAATTTTTTCCCCTCCCAGAAACTGAACCGTGTTAAGTTAATTTTATGAAGCGTTGTATAAAATTATGCTGCAATTTTTTAGTAGTGTAATAACCAAAATGTGTCAGATAAATCTGTGTAATATAATGGTCTACTGTATAGTAAGCCCCCCTTTTCCATGATTTATGGGGGAGGATGTATTCCACGAAAACTGATTTCCAAAACATTCTATGTAAATCAAATATTGAATTTTACAAAAATTATATGGAGACTGCATACCTGCAAAACACCCCACCCACTCGCCTCCCACGATGTTAATAAAAACAAATGACCAGCAACACTGCATTTTAAACACTCACAGATTGAGTGTTCACTATGATATACAATAGGAATTATCCCTCTTACACTTTCCTGATCTTATGCTGTAATTTTGTATTAAATATCTTGACATGTGAGCTTTGCTCCTAAATACAAGTACAGGCTTATGGTACATTATTATCTGCAAGTTTTACTTTCAGATCTTCAACTTGTAATATTCATTATATGTAACATATACATGTCTTTTAGATGATTCATTTACATTACAATCCAAAAATTTAGAATGTTCTATATATCTGTCTGGTATAAAGGGCCATGAGGGGTCTGGAATGCCAATATCTTTATTAAATTTATGAAGCTCTTTGTAAATTTGCCATCCATGAGTTTGCAATTTTTCTTGTGCTATACTGGAGTAAGAGGTGGATACCTACTTCAGTCTCTCAATGCTATAAAACCATATCTACAATAATTTTTTTTTTTTTTTTTTTCAACGTCGGCCCTCTCCCACCGAGGCAGGGTGACAATAATTATTAATACTTATTTTATTGTGCCTGTATATGGATTCATTGCCATTATGTTAATGAAATATATTATTTAATTTAAACCAAATGAATACCTATAACATACTTTTCTCAGGTTTCATGGAACGGCCTGATGATTGGTGATTTATTAACTACCTTAGTTCAGTGTGGAGAGTATGATAAATCTTTGATTGTGATGAAGGAAGCAACTACTAATGCCCATAAGATACTAGGCTATATACCAGTTAATGCCTTACAAATATTGAATAATGCTGCTATTGAAAAGAAAGATGCTGAAACATGTGTGGTAAGTTTTTTACTTCATTTTGTTTACCTCTTAAATACCTCAAGTCCATCGTAACTCAAGGGACCACTGTATTTATTTTACAAAATTTTTTTGGCAATTATTTGTGATAATGGCACATGGCCTGTAGATTATACATGATTAACTAGTAGCTATATTGGCATTGCATAAGGCAGGTAAAAAATTAGTAAAATTGCTGCTTGTGAGGGTGTGATAATAAGAACTGTACAAAAATGGGTGAGACATTCCAGCCATTAACCCTTAAACGGTCCAAAGAGATCGACGTTCAAATTCGTAGTGCTACAAAAGTAGATCTACTTTTTTTTACATCTTTTCAAATATAACAACAAAAAAAATGTAGGTAAAAGTTTTTTTTTTAACGTTTTCAAATGTAAAACTAAAAAGAAGATCTACATTTTTTTAATACTTTCAGATGTTGAAAAAACGTATATATACGTTTGGACCATTTAAGGGTTAAACAGAGATCAAGGAGGAAGAAGTCTGTTAGTCATAGGACATCCAAAGTTGTTAAAGGACAAATGGAGAATGATCCTACATTAACTGCACATAAGTTACAGAATTAAATTCCAATTACTAGAAAAGTCTGGTGACAGGACAGCAGCAATGCCATTTGCATAATAAGTTGGGAGTATTGTAATTTCAGGGCTGTGCACAAGCCAATTCTCACTGTTAAGGGAATAGCCAACTGAAAGTTTTTTGTAAGAATTACATTAAATTGGATGAGGAAGAGTGGAAGTCAATGGTTTGGAGTGATGAAGTCACTTTTTGTGTAACAGGTGGAAGTTACGAACGTGTGTGGAGGAAACCAAAGTCAGGTCATTTTGCTTCTAAATACACAGCTAAAGTGAAAGCACACTGCCTCCCTCATGGCCTGGGGGTGCTTTAACCCATTCACTGTTGGTGCCGTAGTACTACGGCTTGCAAGCCAGTGTTGGTGCCATAGTATTACGCCGAAATTCTAGCGGCTTCAAATCTAACAGGAGAAAGCTGGTAGACCTACATGTGAGTGAATGGGTCTGCATGGTTAATGTGTGCAGTATAAAAGAAATCCTGCAGCACACAGTGCATAATGAGAGAAAAAAAAACTGACCGTGTGATTGGTTTAAAACGCCAATTTTGAGGTGTATTTTTGTATGGAATTTATGGTTGTATTCTCATTTTCTTGATCTCATTTGATAAAACTGAAGATATATTACAGAAATAGAGATAATTTTGATTGGTTTCACAATGAAAAGTACCTTGAAATTGAGCTCAAAGTACTGGAAATGTTCGATTTTTGCCGATGTTCAAGAGTAAACAAATGACGTCACCGTCCAGTACATGTCCAACTGGCCAGTCTAATATACAGGCATGAATGGGTTGACATTATTTATACAATTATTACAATAATGCAGTAGTCTGCATAACAGTAAATCTTCTATTTTTTGTGTGAATAAAAATTAAAAAGAGAAAGCAAGAGTAATATAAGAGGGGCCTGGAGACATGACTAATGAACAGAAAATTTTTTATTTTGGTGCCAGGAATGTCTGCATTGTTTATTCTGGACCCTATTTTGAAATTGGTATCTTTTGAAATTTGTGTGAAATTGGCCAAATTGCCAATATCTGATCACTTTATTGGGTAGTTGAAATTGGTAAATGGGCAGTTTCTCGTACTCATTCGATAGAACAAATGGATTTCTAGCTAAATAGCTACAAGTTTGGTAGACTGGAACACTGGAATTGGCTGAAAATAGGGCTCAAATTGGGCAAAATCGCTGATGCGTATATATCGCTGAGACTGCTAACTCCATGAGAGTGTAATTCTGTAAGTTTTCTCCATCATTTCATAAGAAAATTTTTTTTTTTTTAAATTCTTTGACACTGAGAGCAAGTTTGTGAGCAGGGGTCTCGACAGTGAAAGGGTTAACCATCATGGGTTAGGGGAGTTAGTGATACTGGAAAAGAATGCTTCAGTGATAAAGGGCAGTACGTATTTAGTTTTTAGTATGATATTTGCCAGACTTTTTTGAGAAGTGCCACAGCAACTCTCTTATGCAAGACTGGCCTGATTAACTCACTAGACTTAAATCCAGTAGAGAACATTTGGAACTTTATTAAGCATCAACTTTGTGGCAGGACTTTTCTTTTGTCCTCAAACTCTGAAGTGCTTTTAAGCAAGTGTGGGAGAGTATTGACTTTCCTATTCTCCATAATTTAATCTTAGCAGTGCCTGGGAGACTTAATCCTTAAACTGTCCAAACATAGATCTACGTTTTCATGGCCAGTGCTCTGAATATTTTTTTTTTTTTTTTAAATTAAAGGCAATTTTCTGTGTAATAAGACCAAAAAAATTTTTTTTTAGGACCAGTATGTACTTACCAGGATATAAGCCTGCAAAGTTGGTGCTGGATGCTCACCTGACAGCAACATGGAGTCCTGTCGCTTGCAGAAGTGTTGCTGATATACCTTTTTTTCTCATTTTTATTTTAATTTACATATTTTTTATGTTCTGACAATTGCAATTTATAGTAGTTCTTGTGATTTCATAACCAATCTTTGTTCTGACACCAATATTAGGTACTTAAATAGTACTCAGATAGTCAGAAACACACCAAAAGGTGAACATTTTCATCTGCCTTGGTCATTTACTATTGTCTAGAAATATATACGAAATATTTATAGGTTCCAGCAATGTTTTAGACATGCTGGAGTATATATGAAACTCCTTGAAGCACAGTGTAAGACGAGTGTCACTCCACTGCTGACAGTGCAGCAGTGGAATGACACTTGATGATCATGCACTGCTCCAGGGAACCCTGGCTTTGTTTTCACTGTTGCACATAAACATGTCTGTCTGTCTTTGTTTCTGTCTAGCTCTGTCTGCTTATCTGTCTGCCTGTGTGTCTTTGTTTTTGTCTGCCTATGTGTCTGTCTTTCTGTCTCCCTGTGTGTGTGTCTGTCTGCCTGTGTATGTCTGTCTTTCTGTCTGCTTGTCTCTGTCTGAGAGAGTGGCTCATGAACCAGCAGGTATTACACACGATGCAGAGTCATCACATTTGATTCCTGTGTGTATTACTTGCCAGTCACGCTTATTATGCCTAGCTTGATAACTAGCGCATTCAGCTCACACACTGAGGTCTGGAGTTCGATTCTCGTCTGGCATGGCTGGAAAACGTTTCGGACGTATTTCCATAAGACACCTGCCGTCCATGTTCACCCATCAGTATAAAATGGGTACCTGGGTGTTAGTCAACTGGTGTGGATCGCATCCTGAGACAAAACTGACCTAATTTGCCCAAAATGCTCAGCATAACAAGGGGCCAAACCATACCATGGGCGGGGATAGAACCCACGATCAGAGAGTCCCAGAACTCCAGACCGTCGCGTTAGCCACTGCACCAGCTAGCCACAATAAGATTCATCCAACTAGGTATATTTCTACACCATAGGAAGGTTAGCATAAACACCACTGTGACCACAAATGCAAGTTTTTACAGACGAATCTCCAGCTAGTGTGGCTGTGACAAACTTTAGCTCAAGTCACCTCAAAGCCGTTAACATGACTCAAGAAATCGTAATGACACGATTGCAAACAAACCATACCACGGGCTGGTCCAGTGGCTAACACGACGGTCTGGAGTTCTGAGACTCTCTGATCGTGGGTTCTATCCCTGCCCGTGGCATGGTTTGTTTGCAATCATGTCATTACGATTTCGTGAGTCATAACAAGGGGCTTTCTATATAGTAGTAAGCCCCATAGGTAATTTACACTATGTATGATAACTGTACTTATGTGTACCTGTGAGCGAGAGACATAAAGAGACAGACAGACAGAGATAGACAGAGACAGATATAGAGAGAGAGACAGCCAAAGTCAGTCAGCCAGCCAACCAGTCTGCTGAATATGTATTACACATGTTCCAGAATCGTTTCTCTTAAGGCATAGGTTATAGGACATTCTGGCAGGATGACACTGCCAGTGGTATAAAAAATGAAAGGATGTTGCACAATGTTGCCCATGGGTTATTACTGAGGTTTTTGATATTTTCTTGACCGCTTGTGGCCACATCCATCTTAAAGCCACTAAACTCTGGGTCGGCATCACTTTCCTCTTAAAAGGGGAATGTTAATACAATATCATATCAGTGAATCCCTGGTGTTTGCCATGCTATTTGCTCTAGCTGGTGCTCAATTGAACTGGTGCTCCCACAAGCTACTGAGTGGTCTCAGATTTTTTTAATACTGTGCTTACTGAGTGTTAAGACCCATTCTATATTGACCAGGCATCTCAGGCCAATTGTGCCAAATTTAGAGGCAGGAAAAATAAAATGTAGATCTACATTTGGACAGTTTAAGGGTTAAGGAATGCATCAAGAGTAAGGGTAATCCTACAAAATACTGTGCCGTATGACCCTTGTGGGCTTAACTCTTGGTTTTGATTATAATAATACAAAATACTAGTAAATACTAGTGTAGGTGAGTAACCCATGAAATTTTCAGTATTTTATTTTTAAAAAGTTATTTTATGTTAAGTGTTTTCATTATCTGCATTTATTTTTTCTGTTCACATAATATTTGTGATGTCTGCTGTGTATAACAAAAACAATTAAATTTCCATAGTCATACATACTTTTTTTTTTTTTTTTAAGTCAGCCATCTCCCACTGAGGCAGGAGTCAGTCTGCTGTGTATAACAAAAAAAAAAAAAAAATTTCCATAGTCATACAAACATTTTTTTTTTTTTTTTTTTTTTAAGTCGGCCATCTCCCACTGAGGCAGGGTGACCCAAAAAGAAAAAATCCCCAAAAGGAAAATACTTTCATCATTCAACACTTTCACCTCACTCATACATAATCACTGTTTTTGCAGAGGCACTCAGATATGACAGTTTACAAGTCCCTCCAAACTGTCAATATCCCAAACCCCTCCTCGAAAGTGCAGGCATTTTACTTCCCATTTCCAGGGCTCAAGTCTGGCTAACCGGTTTCCCTAAATCCTTCACTAAATATTACCCTGCTCACACTCCAACAGCTTGTCATGCTCCAAAAACCTTTCGTTCCATTCCTCCTAACACGCTCACAAAAGCTTCGGGAAACCCCAACCCCTCCCCACAAAACCCCCTTTTACCCCTTCCCCCCAAACCTTTTCGAGGAACCCCCTACCCCCCCTTTCCCCTCCCCTACAAATTTATACACTCTCTAAGTCATTTACTTTGATCCATTCTCCTAAATGACCAAACCACCCAACAACCCCCTCTTACCCTTGCTATATTTTTGAAACCCCACACTTCCCCCTAATTTTCACACTCCGTTTTTCTCTGTTAATATTTACCCCAATATTGCTCTTAGACGGGGAATCTCCAGCCTCCCCCCGCCCCCTCGCTGCAGCTTTTTCAACTCAAGTTCACACCCATTTAAGAGTGTTGGTACCATATATTTCCCACACATTCCCTTCTTTGCCTCATAGATAACGTTTTATGTCTCCCCGATACCTCAACGCACTACTCACCCTTTTTTTCCCTTTACTTTCTACGGTTAACCTCTCCTTCATAAAACCCATCCCTTGACAAGTCAAAATCCAAAACTGAAAACTTCATTCTTCCATACTCCTTCTCTCCAATGGATATCAAATTTTTCTTTAAAAACGTTTGATACCCCCGTCACTTACTTTTTTTTGTACTTTTAAATTTCTCTTTACACCCCTCCCAAACTTTCCCCAACCTTTGCAACTTTTCTTTGAAACTCCCAAAAGTACAGTATCAACAGCAAAAAGTAACTGTACTTGATTCCCTATAATGCAATCCCACCCCTCTCCCCAACACCCTAGCAATTACATCACTATTTTCAGGCTTTTTTGTCTGTGTTCAGTATTGCTTTCACACACCAGTGTCCAACAGTAGTCAGCCATTAAACTGATCATCAGGTTTCCATGATATCTTTTCTCCATGATGGCTAAGTCTTGGCAAAATTGTTCTGTTTCACAGAAACTGTATTTGTTGGAGTAAAATTAACTTTAGATTTGAATTCAGCATCCTTAACCCTTAAACTGTCCAAACAGATCTATGTTCACATGCATAGTGCTCCAAAAGTAGATCTATGTTTTTTTACGTATTTTCAATAAAAAAAAACGTAGATCAAAGTTTTTTTTTACACATTTTCAAATGTAAAAAAGCAAAGAGAAGATTACGTTTTTTTTACATTCAAATGTTGAAAAAACGTAGATCTACGTTTGGGCACACATTATTAAATGTAAACCAAAACCATCGTTAGCCAATGTAGTTAGGGAGGACAATTAATAATTTCAGAGAAAACAGAAAAATCTCCACCTTCTAGAGTATTTCTTGTCATTATACAGAAATTTCCTTCACAGAGTGTAGCTATGTATGGACTGGATGCTGGACACCAAGAGACAGGAGAGATGGTCAAACAGCTTCAATCAAAGTTAAACCTCAGTTTAGAGCACCAGGCAAAACTCTCTTCAGCTTTTGGTACTGAGCTCTTAAATGACTCTTCCTGAAGACATCACTTGCTTGAGAGTAGAGTATTTAGCTTCATGCAGAATACATTTTATCATAAGCAAAATTACCTAGAGAGGAAGAGAAGTGTAAGTTTCAAAATATATAAGTAGTATCCAAACAAGAACATTAGAATTGTTTATTTGGATGTGCAGTGAACCCTAGACTTACTGAAAACTGTTGGTTAGAGAATTGTCTGTTACAATTTCTGTTATTCACTGAATTGAACATTTAATATACTTTTGAAACACAAGCATTATTGAAAAGTAACAGTTTAAAGGAGGAAATATTTCAATTTGGTCTGCAGAGGAGCCATAGTATTCTGGTCATTTGCTAGTCTATATTAACCCTTAAAGTGTCGAAGCGTAGATCTACGTTTGCTCGTGTAGCGCTCCGAATGTAGATCTACTTTTTTTTTAACATTCTCTTATGGAGAAAATCAAGGTCTGAGTGCTACGCTTGCAAACATAGATCTACATTTGGACAGTTTAAGGGTTAATACCTCTCAAGGTGCCTTGATGTCGGTGAGGGGCTTGTGATTCAGAGAAATGACCTGAGTGTTGCATGACCCATGAAAGTTCAGTGCTTTCCTAATTATATTAGCATTATTTTTAAATAGGGAAGCACCAAGCCCATAGAGGTCATACAGTGAAAGGGGAAAGTAATGAAGTCCTTGGATCAAGAGCCCTTCAACATTAAGGTACCTTTTTGAAGGAAGAATCACCTTTGCTGGAGATGCATATTTTTTTTTTGCTACATGATATGTGACCATATTGTCTAATAATGTCGTCCTCCACACCATGCACAGCATTAAAATGCCCTTATAGTTTTGCCACTTCATGAATATAATTAACTGAATTTTAACAATTCTGCACAAACCTAGGGGACCTTGATTCAGGAATTTGTGCTACCTTTTTCTGCTGCTGATCGAACCCAATTGTGCCTGGTAGTGTGTATAAACCACTTCTGTATATATAGTTATATACAGAAGTGGTTTACAATTTCCTCTTCAGAGTAGTGTACAGTATTAATTTTATTGGGGTGGGAGAAGGGAGTGGAGAGAATTGCTAAACCTATAGAGTCATATAATGCCTTGACAGACAAACTGGTTTGATCCAGGGAAGAAGTCAGATCCAATTCCCTAAATCAAGAGCCCCTCACTAGCATTAAAGCACCTCCTATGAGGGGAAATGTAGAGTAATATGACACATTATAGAATATTTAAGTATTCTTTTAATTTATTTCATTAAGATAGTCCAAAATATAAAGTATGCATGGACGTAATATCTCAGTCCAGTGATTTTAATTTTTGTGCATCAGAATCAATAACGTGTGTAAAATGACCGATTTTTGTTTATTTCATAATTTTTATTAACAGTTTAAACAGCATAATTTTCAATATTACATATGAATTTATATGAATATTTGGATTCTTTCAACCATTTAAAAAATCAAAGATGATTAAACAGGTACATTAAAAAAAGGGAAAAAAATGTATGAACATCTAATAATAATGGGTATTATATTAATGGTATACAATACCAACAAGTAGAGTAAGACACTTGCAACATTTAGGTATCTCTCTGAAGCTTTCTGCCTGCTGTGCAAGCTTCTTTAGTCTAATGCAAAGGTGACTTAATTATTGGAAGCAGTGGAGAGGATCAGTCCCTTACTCTAAGAAATGTTGAGATCACTTCAATATTTCTGCTATCTCCAATATTTCATCTTTGTATCTGACTGAAAAAGCCTGCAGAGCAGGTAAACTATCTCGATGTTAAATATACCTAATTGTTGCACATGTCTCTCAATAATATTGGAAAATAGCCAAATAATTCTTTCTAATTATAGGTACTATAGTATACATCTTCACCATATACATTCATTTAGATTAAAGAATAAGAATAAATGAAATCTGTATTCTGCTAACAAGTAGAAAATAAACATTAAAATTCTTTTAATCTCTTCAGTCATTTTAAGCATAGACAGACCTTTTTCCATATGAAAAAGTAATTAAAAACATAACAGACTGCCTTTCCATATCCTCTAAGTAGTAGTAGTAGTAATAATAAATAATAGCTAATTGAAAAAACTAAGAATATATACCCAGTAACAATCATGTACATTGTTTCAATAGTTTGCATTGATAAGTCTCATAAATGGAGTTATCACAATAAACACAGACATATGCTTTTAAGAATAATAACTGTGGAAAGTTGACTAATTAAAAACCAAGAAAGTAAGTGACTAGCACCACAGTGTCACATGACCGTGGTTCAGATTCACTCTCTTGATTATGGTGTGCATGATAAGTGTGTTGCCACAGGGCTGCAATACCTAAATCATTTGTTTTCAATTATAGAGGAATATTAAATATTCAAATATGGGGATTTAAAGGAAATGCAAACCTGTAAATACAAGTCTAGTGCAAAAGGAAGACCACATAACAGCACCATTCCAGTTCATGCAGCAAATTACAACATACAGTACTCTGAATCAGCTTTATAGAACCATTTTGTGTCATGTACTGACTTTATAAAGTATTTGTTTTATATAACACTGGTGTGTGTGTGTGTGTGGTTTTATAAAGCTAGTTCAGCCTAAAAGTGAAGTAAGAGAGATATACTGAAACTTATAAAACAAAATTATATTCAGTATCTAATCTATTACAGATTTGAAAACTCATATGGTCTTATAAATACTTTTTTGAAAGATAGCCCAAATTTTATCCAGTGATAAAATGGTATCTCAAACATGTAACTTTTATTATAATTTAACTTATCTAGCAATTTTTGTTTTAACTCCTTACCCTGCTGATCAAAGGGAAGATGTCTTACACAAGGAGGTGAAGATTTACAAGTAGGAACTGTGCATTGGCAGTGAACAGAGATTCAAAGTAAGGTTCAACAAATATCATAAAGATATAATAGTCATACACTATTACCCACCTTTCTTTACCCTGTATTATTACATTTATGGAGAAAGGGCTATACCCTTAGGGATCATAACTTCTGAGGGAATGGGAAGATGCCTAATCCCTTGGATCAAAGAGCCTCCACCAGCATCAAAAACTTCCCTTGAAGGGTCTTTAGCCTGTAATAATTTTATTTATTTATATTGCCATACTTTGTGCCTCATAAACAGTGAAATTCTGTAGTTACACGATTGATTTTTGTTCCATGAAATATTTATCAAAGTACAGTTGAGCACTACTAAACTGACACTTTCAGAAACTTCCAAATCTGCAATACACAAAAATATACTTTATGTAAAGAATGTTATGGGAATTTTTAGGAGCGATAGTACCAAGGAAACAACTAGACTGTTATAGAGGTGTTCTATTGTAAGCATGGAGGAGCCCAGCCTGTCACGTCTGCCCATCTGGTTAGCTTGGTTGACTCTGAGGCAGAGGTCTGTGAGGGGTAGCCTATGTGTGAGGGGAAAGGGCCAGGGAGCCTGCTTATAAATGTTGCTAGGACATACTAAACAAATAACTTTTGACAAAAATACTCACCAATGCCTATAGTCTTTATTGGCTTCCAATTTTTTTCTGTATTTACATATAAACATGTGATTAATATTTAATCTAGGATAGGCTAGAGAATGTGGAAACTCTGTAATAGTCCCTGTTAATCAGAACACTTAGAATTGGAGGCTCATTAACTTTTACTGTAGATAGCAATTAGATGGTTGTCAGACAGCAACCACTCAAGAAAGTGCAGCTTCTGCCACAAGTGTGAAATGAGGTCTATTTAACATTTAGTCCTTTTGTAAGATTGCTGGTCTTTCCATCTCTTGAACATGTAAATCTTTCAAACTAAGTGGCTGCAGGTAGATTAAGCTGACAGTGCATACACTATTTCCCCTTCCAATTTTTTGAAGTGTTTGAGACAGTTTCATATATAGGGTAGTAAGGCATGGGAATTTATTATAAAATTATGCATTTGTGACAGGGCTTACATGTTTTAGTCCATTCCATGTGAAAGCTTGATCTCTCAACAACTTTCTCTTGTTTACTTGCTCACTCAAGACTGTTAATATCCTCTGTAGTAATTTTCAAATCCTGGTCATCTTTTTTTATATTAAATGAATGAGAGCAAAACCAAGTGTGACTTGTAGCATTGTCACACTGGGGCAGACCAAGCCCTTCAACCCAATGCTCAACTTGGCTCTAACACTACTTCCATTTGCAAATTTTGTATAATCTGTTTTACTCATTTTGTTAATTATCAGTCACCAGCATACATCATGTATTAAATTACGACTGCAGATAAACAAATCATTGTTATAGGTTGGAATTCCAAGTAAATATGGAAAAACGCAATGCACGTTTACAATTATGACTTGTAACTAATCCTCCATATATGTATCTTGTGTACACACACACTTTTTAATGTGTTATGTACGAGTCACCAGCATGCAAGTGTAGAATTATGATCCTGAGGCAGCAATAAGTGGTGATGGGTTGACTGCACAGCCATTCCCTGGAACTGTGCATGCAACTTCCTCTCAGAAAACAGTATTTAAACTTAAGAGCAATCTGAAAAAAATCAAGGTTTAGTGAAAAAAAAAAGCACTGGAGAATTGAAGTTATAAAAATGAATTTGGGTATATTTAGTGTATAATTTAGCAGTGCAGGACTATACAGAATTATAATAAAAAAAGAGCTTTATAAACAATTCAAAGAAGCCAATTTCTTTAATGCTAATTATTTTAAACAAATTCTTGAATCCACCTAGCTGGGTGAAAAAAATGACTTAAAAAAAAAATGACCAGGATCATTAGCTTTATCAGGCACTTGCCATATCAAATAGAAAAAAACTATGTGTGGTGTGAATATAATGCAGAGAATTCGTAGTTTGGAAGTTAGGAGGAGGTGCGGGATTACCAAAACTGTTGTCCAGAGGGCTGAGGAAGGGTTGTTGAGGTGGTTCGGACATGTAGAGAGAATGGAGCGAAACAGAATGACTTCAAGAGTGTATCAGTCTGTAGTGGAAGGAAGGCGGGGTAGGGGTCGGCCTAGGAAAGGTTGGAGGGAGGGGGTAAAGGAGGTTTTGTGTGCGAGGGGTTTGGACTTCCAGCAGGCATGCGTGAGCATGTTTGATAGGAGTGAATGGAGACAAATGGTTTTTAATACTTGACGTGCTGTTGGAGTGTGAGCAAAGTAACATTTATGAAGGGATTCAGGGAAACCGGCAGGCCGGACTTGAGTCCTGGAGATGGGAAGTACAATGCCTGCACTCTGAAGGAGGGGTGTTAATGTTGCAGTTTAAAAACTGTAGTGTAAAGCACCCTTCTGGCAAGACAGTGATGGAGTGAATGATGGTGAAAGTTTTTCTTTTTTGGGCCACCCTGCCTTGGTGGGAATCGGCCAGTGTGATAATAAAAAAAAAAAATAACTAATAAAATGTAAATTTGTGACTTATTTTCTGGTACGATTTTCTGTCAATAAATATTCAAGTTGTGCTTGTCTGAAAATATCAATGGGAATAAAGAATATGAATATACTGTACTAAGACTGACAATTGAATTCCTCTTTCAACAAACTGGCTGCATCCCAGCAAAGCAGGGTGGCCCAAAAAGAAAAATGAAAGTTTCTCTTTTTAATTTTAGTAATGTACATATACAGGAGATGGGGTTACTAGCCTCCCCTGCTCTTGGCATTTTAGTTGATCTTACGACATGTATGGCTTACAGAGGAAGAATTCTATTCCACTTCCCCGTGGAGATAAGAGGAAATAAACAAGAACAAAGAACTAGTAAGAAAACAGAAAAAAAAACAGAGGGGTGTGTATATATGCTTGTACATAAACCATACCACGGGCAGGGATAGAACCCATGATCAGAGAGTTTCAAAACTCCAGACTGTCGTGTTAGCCACTGGACCAGCTAGCCACAATAAGCTTCTTCCAACTAGGTATATTTCTACACCATAGGAAAGTTAGCATAGGCACCACTGTGACCACAAATGCAAGTTTTTACAGACGAATCTCCAGCTAGCGTGGCCGTGACGAACTCTAGCTCATGTCCCCTCAAAGCTGTCAACATGACTCACGAAATCGTAATGACACGATTGCAAACAAACCATACCACGGGCAGGGATAGAACCCGTGATCAGAGTCTCAAAACTCCAGACTGTCGCTAGCTGGTCCAGTGGCTAACGCGACAGTCTGGAGTTTTGAGACTCTCTGATTGCGGGTTCTATCCCTGCCCGTGGTATGGTTTGTTTGAAATCATGTCATTACAATTTTGTGAGTTATGCTTGTACATGCATGTGTAGTGTGATCTAAGTGTAAGTAGAAGTAGCAAGATGTACCTGAAATCGTGCATATTTATGAGACAGAAAAAGACACCAGCAATCCTACCATCATGTAAAACAATTACAGGCTTTCATTTTACACTCATTTGGCAGGACAGTAGTACCTCCCTGGGTGGTTGCTGTCTACCAACCTACTACCTAGAACAACTGCATTACCATGAGAAATTTAACTCAGTAATAAAATATACTAAAATACAAAGAAATCAAAAGTAAAACTTTACACAAAGAACTGTCAAGACACTTGCTGCATATTAAATAAAATATATAATGATCAAAGTTAAACCAAGTAACAGTACCTGAAAATCTCTCTCTGCCATATATGTCAAGTTTTAATTTTCCAGTGGTGAATGATGCAGATACTAAGGTGTGTGTATCTCTGTGTATATATGCTGAGAATTTAATTTAATCCCTATTTTAGGGTTTCAAGTGTCCTTGACTGGTGGTGTCCAGGTTACATGTAGCCTTAGTAATGACCCTTGTGTAGTCAGCCAATAGGTTTTAATTTTCCAGAGGTATTATGGTAAATACCTGGGTAACAAGAAAAAGCGAAATAATCCACATGAACTTTTGAAGCATAAACCCAGTTTACCAGTGTTAATTAAATTAAGAGTTGAGCAGCTCTGAAAATTTTTTTATAAAAAAGTAATTTAAAGAATAAAATCTATCACAGGCATTATGCAACACAGGTAATGGCTACAGCTACTAAACTGGCAACATGATAAAATCAGAAGTGTATCTCAATTACTACACTCATTTTATAACAATATATCAATCACTCCTATGAAACATTAAAAACAGTCTGTTCTAGACAACGTACAAATAATGATTTACAGTTTCTTTGTCAATCAATTTTGTCTGCACAATTAAATAAAAATTTCTAAATCAACAGACATAAGTTTGAAGTATAAATCATTACTTCCTGTGCATCAAAGAATTATTCAGGAATACAACTTCTCCAGTATTAACTCTCCTTAACCCAGTATTCATCTTAACTACCACGTTTAGCTCAATATTCCTCCTCCTGCCTTCCATTTCCCTTATTATATTCAAAACATGCACAAAATCTGTGGGTCATACAGTGTTGCAAATAGGTGTGTGCAAGGTTACTGGAAATCAAAGTTGATGCAACAGGTTTGTTTCTGTCAATGAAAGCAGTGAGGCTTATGTTAACAGTGGAACTTTCAGCAAGGTCAGTTTGCTTTAATAGACAGGACAGTCTACATTGAGTTTGCAGTCGTAAGACTTAGTCAGCTGTGCCCACAATGGTTGCAGTCAAACACCTGTTTCATTCACTAGCCATCAGGCGTGATAAGGCTATCAAATGTACGATAAATATGTTGCAGTAGCATTTTGGTCACCAATCACACATGGCATCTGACCGAAGAAGAATAATTTGTGTAATTTTAGGGGCATCTAATCTGTAAACAGCACATCACAGTTTATGCCACCAAAACTGGAAAAGAACCTTCAGTCTAGTTTGGCAACCTATCTACCTGGAAAAAAAAAACCCTTTCACCATATGCAGAAGGGACGACTGAAGTCCAATTAAAGCAAAGAGACCATAAATATTTCTGAACTGGCCAGGTGAATGATGCCAAGGTACAGCACATACAGGCCAAAAAAAGCTGCATGTCATCGCTGCCATTGTGACACCATGTATGCAGTGTGCATGGAAAGTTATGCTGCTGGCTGCAGGAACAACTTTTGATCAATGAAATGCATGGCAATAGGTGATTGAAGTGTTGGTTTTTGTACACTAATTGGAAGTGGGGCCATGCAGCTTCAAAAGCGGGTTCATTCGCCTTTGCATTGTACTATGTACTATGTTCAATGAAGCTCAGATGATGGTGTATGTGATCAATAATAATGTTAGAACAAAACACTGTCCTCTTCTAACATTATTATCCCTCCAATATGCCATTATGTGAGCTTCATTGAACACTGTGCAGAGTTCAACCCAAAGGCAGGTAAGGCTATTCTTGAAGCTTCATGGCCCCACTTGCAACTGGTGCCCAAGTTGTTCCCAAGATTTCTAGAAAGTCCATACCTCAACCATCTGTTCAATGATCAAAAGTTTGTCCTGCAGCCGGCATCATAACTTTCCATGCCGACTGTATGTATTGTATAAGTATTTTTTTGAATATCAATATTTATTAATGTAATTTGTATTTACATTACTGAATGCTAGGTCTAAAACATAATTAAATATTTAAAAGTCATTAATTTCATATCAATGAATTGTATATACCAGGTAAACAATTCTTTAATCCTCAATGACACCTCCATACATCCAAGGGTGGGAATCCAGGATGACAATCATTTGAATATTTCACTATACATGCATAGCTGGCTTTGGGGAGATGTGTTTGCAGCACTATTTGTAGTTGCTATGAGACTGAAATGAAAAGACTTATTCTTTCTTTCAACAAACCGGCTGTATCCCACCAAGGAAGGATGGCCCAAAGGGAAAAATGAAAGTTTCTCCTTTTAAATTTAGTAATATACAGTGCCCACAAAAAAAATCTATACATTTCAAATGCAATAAACAATCTATGAACGAGATTTTGGTGCATACATTTCAGTGCTCTGCCAGAGTTTGGTGAGGAAGGAGGCCTGCTACGTCGTTCCTCAGTGCCCCTTTTTTTTCACTTGACCACGAACTTTGCCACGCTATATCTCCACTCCAAGTGGTCAGAATGTGTCAAACTAAACTTTCAATTGCAGAGAAGACCTGTGCACTCACCCTCTTAGAGCAAGGCATGTCTGTGATATGCATAGCTGCAGACCTGAAGGTGACGAGGATGGCAATTTACAACCTCAAGAAAGCAGCAGCCTCACTCTGTACCACCCAGGAAAGTGGGCTCTGAGGCCCCCAGAAAGACTTCTCTTCCCACAGACAAGATCCTGAAGAGGGAAGTGTTATCAGATCCTGCCATAACAGCCATAGACCTCAAGAAAAAACATAAAACATTCTCACTCCTGAAGGATGTCACGGTGCGAAATATTCAGCACCAACTGCAAAAGGACCTGACAATGCCTGCTCGATGTGCCACCAAGAAGCCCATGCTAATCGAGGCCATGAAGAAACGGCTTCAGTTCTGCAAGAAGTACAAGGATTGGACCTGAGACCAGTGGCAGGTGATGTTCAGCGACGAGAGTACTTTCAGGAGCAGCTCCAAGACCGTCTGTCATCCCTGTGATGTATCCTGTTATGACCCGTGGTACGTCGCGAAGATAGTGAAGCACCCTGACAGTGTTATGGTCTAGGGTGCTTTTAGTGATTATAAGGGCAGGGGTGGACTATACTTTCTTCCTAAGAACATTACAATAAAGGGAAGTAATTATATTGAGGTGTTTAGGGACCATGTGCTACCATCTTGGAACATTCACGAGTGTGATTTTTTTAATGCATGATGGTGCCCCTGCCCATAAGTCAAAAGCAATGAAAAAGTTCCTCGTGGACAATAATATCAGTGTTTTGGAGTGGCCAGGCAATTCACCTGACCTAAATCCTATCGAGAATGCCTAGCATGTGATGAAAAATGAGATTGCAAAAGCCTGACCCACCAACATCTTGGACATGAAGGAGGCACTGAAGAAGCTTTGGATCAACATGGACGCCTCCTTCTTCTCCACCCTCGCCACTTCGATGCCCAGGCGACTTCAGATGGTGACAAAGAACAAGGGTAACATGACCAAGTACTAGTTGGAAGCTAAAAAGTGAAAATAAAATACATGTACATACAGTAAGTTGCATTTTTTTGTTAATGTATAGATTTTTTTGCAGGCACTGTATACAGAAGGGGTTACTAGCTCCATGCTCCTAGCATTTTAGTCGCCTCTTATGACACGCATGGCTCACAGAGGAAGAATTCTGTTCCACTTCCCTATGGAGATAAGAGGAAATAAACAAGAACAAGAACTAGTAAGAAAATAGAAGAAAACCCAGAGGGGCATGTGTATGTATATGCTTGTCTGTGCATGTGTAATGTTACCTAAGTTTAAGTACAAGTAGCAAGATGTACCTGAAATCTTGGATGTTTATAAGTCAGAAAAAAGACACCAGAAATTCCACCATCACGTAAAACAATTGCAGGCTTCTGTTTCACACTCACTTGGCAGGACGGTAGTACCCCTGGGGGAGTTGCTGTCTACCAATCTATAATCTAGGACTGAAAAGACATGTTCATTTAATGAATCATGCCAAGGGTCAGCCAGGAAGGGGGAAAATATACGACGAAATTGTATTTAATACACTACCAATTTTTTCCATGGGGAGCACCAAACAAGTTGGGGTTATACAGGACCTTAGGAACTGGAGGTATTTTACGTCAGTCCAAAGAGAGGGTAGTTCTAATTCTTTGGATCAAGAGCCCTTGAAGGAAAAGTACCTTTCAAAACCCCACCACTGATTGGTGCAAACTTGAAAATCTTTTCCCAATGAAAGAGAAAAAAAAAAAAGGACATTCCTTTCTGCTGAATAATCCACAGAATAACAGGTCTCAGTAATCCCAAAATCCTTATACTAAAACACTGTTTTGTGGCAACGCATAAGAGGTAACCAAACTATTGTTGGCACATACATGTACTTGACAGGCGATACAGGGATGGTTTTTCCTGCAATGTCACATGAAACTTTTATTAACACTGGTAAACTGATATGAAACCTGGTAATTTCTGGGTGTTCCTTCATGTGGTGTCTGTATGAGCATAAATGTGGGTGTAGTTTTCCTTTACCCAACAGTGGTGGGAAGATGACCAGGAACACAATTTGTGGTTTGATAGAATTTTTTTTTTTTGTGTCCTAGCTCTGATCTATGTACATTGCTGCCAATGGCAATAATGGCAACAATGTAGATCATAGTACCAGGAAATATTGTCTAGGAAAGGAACACCCTTGCAAGGGATGTATGTGATCTGCAAAACCTGTATCTATCCTCTTCAACCAGTTTTGAGGAGCATGTAGGCCTGCTGCAGACTCCAGGTACAGTCCAGGATGCAGATTGTAAACACACTAATACCAGCCTGGGAGTTTTCTATGTTGAGAGAGAAATAGAGAGAGATGTTAACTAGAAATGATGGTTGTTTATTTGCTGGGATAGTCAGAGCACAGCTTTAAAACAAAAATGGGCTTCTCAGCTAGGTAAAAGAGAAGGCATAGAGAAACATACTGAGCTACAAGTGAGGTCCAATACCAGTGAAAAGTAATATTAGAAAGATTGTATTCCTAGATGGATCATCAGACCCCAAACAAAATATTATGTTCAAATTTTGTTATAGCTACACTCTTAGGCAGTGTATGAATACTCTCTCAACCTAGCTAGAATAGAACAATTAACCCAAAAGCCATATAAACAGATTATGCACACGCAGTACGAACGTGAGGCTGATACAATCGTGCTCTCTTGCTGCACTGTACAAGGATTGTCACTTAAGACAAACCGCATTTGAACTAGAGAAATAATGACTTTCTTCTATTCGAAAGTAATATGAATGATGAGAAATGTTGAAAGTGGTAATGAACTACTGTACATACTCTGTGAGAGCTAATGACAAAAAATATAATGAAAAACTTTGTACATAAAATGAGCTATGTAAATCTACTAGAGCATATTTATAACACTTAATAATGTTTGCAGACACTATACCATATGAAATAACTTTTAAATATATTTGTGACAATAGGCTAAAAATTTATAGGTGAGAAAAATTGCATTACCTTTCCTCAAGTATAAACTTCATTACCAAGTAATTAGTTTTACACTTACTGAGAACATGATACAGTAGTAATTCTTGTATTTAACATTTATATTAAGCTAACAGAAATATACACAACTTTTCCATACAACTATGTAATTTGATTAATAAAAAATTTTTGGGCCCTTTTAAAATTTAAGATACTGAATTACTGTGAAAGCATGGTTCCACCCCTAATTTTTCCAGTAGTAATGGCCCACTCCTTATAATGGAGCAAAAATTTATTCTTGTTGTTTAGTTCAACAAGTTTATAAATAAAATTTGTAAACAAATATAATTAACAAATTAAGAACTGGACTTTGGCCAATTCAACGGTTATTTTTCGCCACTGAATGAAAAGCCCAATTTACAGATGTCTTCCAAGCATTGGACAACGCCTCGTCAAAACTTGGAGCGGAAGTGATCCCGAGCATCTTCGTCTGACAAGTCTAGTTTCTGTAGAAAAAAATTATGCAAATTTATATAATTTAGTTTAAAAGCAAGAAACAAAGACAAAGAATGAAGTGGTGAGAACATGACCACATTCTGCTAACTGTACACCAAAATGATGGGTCACTTCTAATATTATCAGATGATAATTATTCTGTACCTGACAAACTTTCATGATTGAGAAGACTTTCAAATGGAGAGGGTTCTGACTTGTAACTTGTAGCCTCCCTATCTCATGAATCTAGTCAAAACAGTCTTAACCATGAATGTACCACCCCCCAATGCATCACCAGATTATCACAAGGTTCTACATGAAATGTCTAACATACATACATGAATGTCTAATCCTCCTACTTAAACACACCTTTCACATCCTCCCTCCAAGTCTACCTCAGACATTTCTTAGACTTTCATTCATTCCAAAATTTATAGTCCCTCTTTACAAATCTATCTTCCAGTGTGACTAGTTAATGGTTCAAGTCAGACTGAAACATCATCGTAAGTTTTTTCTCCGATGTGTGGGTTATTTGTGTACTGTTCCAGTCACAGTATTGTGCCTTTTTGTTCTCTATCTTCCTCAATTTTTTCTACACAATCAAATGATCTCAATGAACCCTCTCATGCTTTGAATTATACCTTTTATATAACCATACGTTCTAATTTCTAAATTTCACATTTTTCATACAACATTTAGGTAATTTTATTAAGACTAAGAGAGGTTTTGATACAGTTCCTTGTGAAAGACTAATCTGAAAACTGCAAAACACACAAAGGGTAAATTACAGTAAACCATATACTGCCCTCAGACACATCTCCACTGCTTCCAACCTCCTCCCTGTTGCAACATTCGCAAACCAAGCTTCACACTCATATAAGAGTGTTGGAACCACTATACTCTCATACATTCCCCTCTTTACCTCCATGGATAACATTTATCTACACAGATGTCTAAATGCACCACCCACTTTTTTCCCCTTCATCAATTCTATGGTTTACCTCACCTTTGATATACCCATCTGCCAACACGTCCACTCCCAAATATTTGAACACATTCACTTCCTCCATGTTCCCCAATCTCATATCCAATCTCTCATTACCTATCTCGTTTGTTACCCTCATCACCTTGCTCTTTCCTATGTTTACTTTCAACTTCCTTCCTTTACACAACACTTTGTTTATGTTGTGTAAACCTACAATACCTTGCTTACCAAAGTTTCTTTTAAATAATTGAGATCCTTTTCACTCTGAAGTTCTGGAAGTCCTGTAGATATCATCATAGCAAAGAGAGAGATGATAAAAGAGCCATATTTCCGCAAAATAAGAAAAGCCTGAAAAGACAACAAGTGTTAATGTACATAAGCATCCTCGTTGCCTACTTTCTATGTAATGACATTAATTCAACAAATAAATGTTCCTGAGGGCAATGTGTAGTGTGAATATAATGCAGAGAATATGCAGTTTGGAGATTAGGAGGAGGTGCGGGATTACCAAAACTATTATCCAGAGGGCTGAGGAGGGGTTATTGAGATGGTTTGGACATGTAGAAAGGATGGAACAAAATAGAATGACTTCAAGAGTGCATAAATCTGTAGTGGAGGGAAGGCGGGGTAGGGGTAGGCCTAGGAAAGGTTGGAGGGAGGGAGTAAAGAAGGTTTTGTGTGCAAGGGGCTTGGATTTCTAGCATGTGTGAACATGTCTGATAGGAGCAAATGGAGACAAATAGTTTTTAGGACTTGACATGCTGTTGGAGTGTAAGCAAGGTAACATTCATGAAGGGATTCAGGGAAACCGGCAGGCCGGACTGGATTCCTGCAGATGGGAAGTACAGTGCCGGCACTCTGAAGGAGGGGTGTTAATGTTGCAGTTTTACAACTGTAGTGTAAGTCCGCCTTTGGCAAGACAGTGATGGAGTGAATGATGAAGGAAGCTTTTCTTTTTTGGGCCACCTTGCCTTGGTGGGAAACGGCTGATGTGTTAATAAAAAAAAAAAAAAATTCTGTTAACCCTTTCAGTGGCCATCATGTAGAACTACGTCACTGAGGTCAAGGTCCTCTTGTGCAGTTCTACATCATGAACTCAGCTCAGTCACATAAGCTGTGAGCAGTAACTTTTGGCCTAAATATGAGAAAATGGGTCTGCACGATGAGTGTGCATAGCATAAAAAAAAAATCCTGACTCAAAAAAATACTGCATGGGTAGGGCTTGAACTTGCAGTGAGTGGTAAAACTCCAGGCCAGCGTGTAAGCCACTGGGTTAGCTAGCCACCTGCCTCGATGCATGACGGAAAAAAGCAAAACTCTGGCCATGAGTTTGGGTTAAAATAGTAGGTCTGGACAGTGAAAGGGTTAATACTGTCAATACTAAATTAATGAAGTAAATTATTATTTTAATACTGTAAATATTATATTACCAAACTCAATATTATTATAGTAACAGTACAATACTGTACTTTTGTTAAAAACATTTTACAGAGAATGTACATAATATTAGCAACTACAACTTGAGGTGTATCTGATTCATCATTTGTTCATTTGTTGACTTTCACGATATACTACCTCAACATGTCTTCACTGGGTTATATATAAAGGTTGGCTATTACCATCAACTATTTTTATGCAAAAGCATCATAGCTATATGAGTCACCAGCCTTGGAAATCTTTATAAAATCCACTTAACATGTACAGGCTGCCACTCAGCCACAAAGTTATGCTGAAGTGAATGGAAAGATTAACATTACTTGACTGTCTAACAATGCAGTACTGTAGTACCGTACAATGAAGGGTTTAAAAGTCTACCCCAAACTGTAACAAAATAGCATAACCTACAATATTAACAATCAGAAGCAATTACATTTAGAACAAATGACAGGTGGATACAGTATGTCATACAACATCTTGTCAGCAAATTCATAAAACAAATAGTAACTGCATCTACTGTATTGATTTTTAACCCCTGCATCATCAACAACGAATAATGAATTGATTTACAAGAGAAATAGTTAGTTAGTGGTGGTACTGGAAAGCTAAAAATTTATATGATAAATTAAGTATGGAAGGTGGAACACCAAGAGCTTGGCTCTATTTCTTCAGCTTTAAATAAAATTAGAAACAGCTAATTACCATGAGTATAGCTCTGCTTGTGTCGCTATAAATATGGCAATTAAATACCAATACTGTAGGTACTAATTACTTGTTGACCCTTTTAAAATAAAAATAAGGGTGCATTGCTAGACAGTCAAGTAATGTTAATCTTTTCCATTCACTTCAGCTTAACTTTGTGTACTGAGTGGTAGCCTGTACATGTTAAGTGGATTTTATAAAGATTTCCAAGGCTGGTGACTCGCATAGCTATGATGCTTATGCACAAAAATAGTTGATGGTAATAGCCAACCTTTATATATAACCCAGTGAAGACATGTTGAGGTAGTATATGGTGAAGTCAACAAATGAACAAATGATTCAGATAAATAGAGTAATCCTGTCATTTAAACAACATTTTGCCTATAGTGGGGCTTTGCCAAGTGCCTGAAGCCTCAAAGCAGGTAAAACATCACTAAATGAAAGGCCAACTCCATTTATGTCTAATTCACTAAGATATGTCAAGTTAACTACACAAGGAAATACAGTAAGGAAATAAATATAAATTTCCTGCTTACCTTCTCACAATACCCTTTGAATTGTTCAAATTCTTCTGAACGTGTCTGCCTCCCTTTAGTAATGACATTAATAAAATCATGTGTGAGAACAAATGGTTGCCGCTCACGCCTGATGCCAAACTTTTCCTTGAAGTGTCCAAGAATATGACCAAAATCAATGTGAAACAGTTGTCCATTCTTCATAACCATGATATTGTCTGAGTGACGATCAGCAATACCCAAGACATATGTAGCCACACAGTATCCAGCACAAGAGAGTGTAAACTCATGAATTGCTTTGTTTAGTAAAGCATCAGTTGGGTTGTGATCCTTCAACCATGCTGTAAATATACACCTAAATAAATAATAGATAAATATTAAATACAGCAAAATATAAAAACCACTCTCTATTAGTTACCACTCAGTTATTTCATTCCTGGTCCAATAAGGATGCAAGTTGTATATGTATGTTGTACAACACCGACATGATGAAGAATTAGATGCATAAGCAACATCTGGGTATCTTGACTCACGAAATTGTAATGACATGATTGCAAACAAACCATAACATGGCCAGGTATGGTTTGTTTGCAGTTGAGTCATTACAATTTCACGAGTTATGATGACGGCTTTGAGGGGACTTGAGTTAGAGTTCATCACGGCCACACTGGTGGGAGATTCGTCTGTAAAAACTTGCATTTGTAGTCACAGTGGTGCCTATGCTAACCTTCCTATGGTGTATAAATATACCTAATTGGATGAATCTTATTGTAACTAGACGGCCCAGTGGCTAACGCATCAGTCTGGAGTTTTATGACTCTCTACTACAGGTTCAAGCCCTGCCAGCGGTATGGTTTATCTGAGTATCTTTATGAAGAGTGCCCTAGTCATGAAGAGTCTTCATGACTAAGGTACTCTTCACCATCTTCAAGTCAGAGGGACTGATTACCTCATCCTTTGTCTTCCAATTATGTCCTTGAATTTGTACTGATAAAGCAACTGGACAGCAAAATGTCTACAATAAAGATTCCCAGATGTTGCACATGTGTCTAATTCTTCAAGGATGCAAGTTCTTAATTCCTGGTATATGAACATACAGAATTTACTTTCACGTGTAATTAGCCTACAATTTGGCACAATACAAGAAAGATTACCTCTTGGTAACCAAATGAACTCATACACTCTCACAAATTAATTAGCTAAGCTTTCTAAAATAGCTAAACTGCTATATTCACAATGAGCTTTTAATTAGAGTAGACCGTCGTTTAACATGGTAGTTACATTCCTGAAAGCGCTGTTTTAGTTAAAACCGTGTTAGACAAACTGAAGAACTGAAGGGAAAGATTGGGTTACGTTCCTCTGAGCCCCAAAAAAGCCAAACAACTGACCTCCAGATCCTACAAAAATAAAAGTGAATATGTAATTGTAGTTCATTGTCGTGATGCATTATGTTGTTTTTATTGCTTAAGATTACAAATGCAACAGAAATAATAGTACTTCTTACCTTAAATTGTGCTGGTGTTTGTGCATGATTGTGGAGAGTGGAGAGTTATGCTATGGTCCTACTTGGCTGAGGTGGATGGTAGAGGTACTAGTACTGAAGTCGATGGTTGTACTGGAGTGTACATAAATTCTGTAATGGATTTCTGTTCTATTTTACCCTGCAGTACATTATACAACTGACAGTAAGGCATCAGTTGCTCTAGACACTGTTTCAGGGTCCTCTTCAGTGAAAAGTCTAACATTAAGACAATCAGTAAATCAGTCAAGTCAGTCAGTCAGTCAGTTAGCCAAGTAAGTCAGTCAGTAAATTAGTAAGGCAGTCAGTAAGTCAGTTAGTTCAGTCAGTCAAGTCAGAAAGTCAGTCAGTCAGTCAGTCATCACACAAACTCATATTTACTTCATTGTTTCCATGTGCACAAAGTGATGCTTCATTATGGCCACAGGCTGTCTCTTGTCTAATATCTCCATTTTCTTCATTAACTCTAAGAATTAAACACTTAAACCTTTTCTTGCCACTTTCAGCAACACTTGCATGCCTACTGGGTGTCATGATTGCTTGGCAGATTTAAGGTATGGCAATTAAAAAAGATATACTCTTAGCAGAGGATAGTATGTACTACAAACGTATGAACCAAAGACTGGGACAAGGGTGGTGGAGGGTGGCGGAGTGTGGCGGAGAGTGGTGGGGTAGTGGAAGGTGGCATAGGGTGGCAGTAGGTCTCTCCCATTGACTCAATGGTCTAACCCACAGGCAAACAGTGTGTATCCCGTTGCCGACGCACTCAAAATCCCCCCCCCCCCAAACTGAACCGTGTTACGTTAATTTTATGAAGTGTTATACAAAAATATGCTGCAATTCTTCAATAGTGCTATAACCCAAATGTGCCAAACAAAACTGTGTTAAATGACGATCTACTGTAAATACTAGATTTCTTAATATTTCTTAAATGGTAAGAAGACATTAAATGCAGGGAAGCCTGTGACCATTCACTACAAACATACAATGGAAATGACAATCAGTGCCAGGAAGCCAAACAACATTGAAAGAAGATATATATTACCTACTGGCACCACACTCAACACAATAATGCCTATAATGTGTGAATCTAACAATGATACTGCTAAGGTTATTACCAAAACCCATTAGGGATATCATGAGGACCTCCATACCCTACCCAAGACCTATGGACACAAGCATCTACAGCATCCTCTGTAACTGATGTCATCAGATTTACACTGGAGAACTGCCTACAAAAAAAAGTACAAATGCAGAATGGACATGAACAATGCATGTGTACAACACCGCAACACCCACTTCCGCATCATGGTGTGGGACAATCAGGCTAACATCTCATGATAATGACAAAATTTAATGTAAGTTTTTGGAGTTACTATACAATCAAGTTAACACAATAAACAAAACTGTGGCATGTTCTTTAACCTTTAAACTGTCCAAACGTAGATCTACGTTCACGTGCGTAGCGCTCTGACCTTGATTTTCCCCATTTGAAAGCATGTAAAAAAAACGCAGATCTACGTTTGGAGCCCCACCCCACACGTGGATGTAGATCTACGTTTGGACAGTATTAAGGGTTTTAAATGCAATAAACAGCATGTACGTTTATTGATGGCTATTCGGAACAAGCTGTGAGGAGCTGAGGCTTTACTTATCAACTATAAATCTAGAAAACTAGAAGGTTCCTGAGCAATATACAGTACCATGTCATGAATTGGTTATCCCATTCAGGAATATAAATGACTAGATTAGGAAGTAGTGAGGGGTAATGATGACTGATTAGAGGTAACAAAACTCTCATAAGAATATAAGAAAATGAAAGAACACTCAGCAGGCCTTACACACATGCAATGCATGTACCATGCGCTCATGCTTAGACCACCAAGTCAGAACTACAAAAAAAGATCCTTAGTTAAAATGAGTATGATGAAAGCTGCAACACTAAAGTTGTCCATGCTGGCCAGTAGAAAGAAAGGCACACAATAAAAAACATACATGGTTATAAAAGAATATGAAAAAATAGATGAAGACTTTATAGTACCTTAAACCATCTGATGTTACTGCCTAATGCTGATAAAGAGCATGAATATTTGTATAAATACCACCAGACCAGATCTTCTTTCAACAAACTGGCTGTATCCCACCAAGGCAGGGTGGCCCAAAAAGAAAACAAAAGTTTCTCTTTTTAAATTTAGTAATTTATACAGGAGAAGGGGTTACTAGCCCCTTGCTCCCGGCATTTTAGTCGCCTCTTACAACACGCATGGCTTACGGAGGAAGAATTCTGTTTCACTTTCCCATGGAGATAAGAGGAAATAAACAAGAACAAGAACTAGAAATGGGAAGTACAATGCCTGCACTTTAAAGGAGGGGTTTGGGATATTGGCAGTTTGGAGGATATGTTGGTATTTTAATGTGTATGCTTCTAGACGTTGTATTCTGAGCACCTCTGCAAAAACAGTGATAATGTGCGAGTGTGGTGAAAGTGTTGAATGATGATGAAAGTATTTTCTTTCTTTTTTGGGTCACCCTGCCTCGGTGGGAGACGGCCGACTTGTTGAAAAAAAAAAAAAAAAAAAAAAGAACTAGAAAGAAAATAGCAGAGGGGTGTGTGTACATGTATGTGTAGTGTGACCTAAGTGTAAGTAGAAGTATCAAGACATACCTGAAATCTTGCATGTTTATGAGACAGAAAAAAGGACACCAGCAATCCTACCATCATGTAAAACAATTACAGGCTTTCGTTTTACACTCACTTGGCAGGACGGTAGTACCTCCCTGGGCAGTTGCTGTCTACCAACCTACTACCTAGGACCAGACCAGATATTATAATGAAATTCCTCTCCTTCCTAACCTCACAATGGCCGACGGAATAACTTCATAAACATGCCAAGGTTAACAATATTTTTTCATCACATAATTAGGTTAAATAATAAGGTTAAAATAATAAAGATATGTACTTTACCTAAAAGAGATCCTTTTCTAAACGCACAAGTTGCTGAGAACATGCCCTTCTGTCTCTGAATGTTAGCAATAGTTTCGGCATTCAGTACAACTTGAATGATCCCTTCTCGATTATCAGTTGACATACAGCCATAGGGACTCATTCTGTCAAGTGAGAACAGTCTGATTAGTAAATATTTAAGAATTATTTTTAACAAAGTGCAGGTGACTACTGTAATATGGTTTATATGTATATATAAAGTGATCACCAATATTTATGTAGACTTATCCTTGTGTTATGCGGGTTCGTTCTATGTAAATTCACTATTTTGCAATGTCACATTTTATTGGAAATTCTGTATTTGTAATATAACTTCACCGTATGGTATTAATGCCATTTGCTAAGCATACTGAAGGTTCTTATTAAGCAGAATTAAATACTGATTGCCTACCGAGCTCAGTACAGGTTCAATGGACTGAAACACATCTATGTACTATATAAAGTCAAGGGAAACCTCTACATAGTGAGCGCCAATATTTAGCAGAGAAAAATCAGTGATAAATCTGAATGATGGTGAGAACAATAAGCCTACCTGTAAAGTCAATATTTCAGAAGTCTTTTTATTACTCATTGGATGGATTTAACCAAAAAGTTCTTGAGCCTGACCATTTCACATTAATGAGGTGATTATAAGACTGAGATAATCAACAGGGAAGCCTTAGACTTAGACTTGGCCTTAGACTGGGCTGTGGGGGTAAAAGAGCCCTCGAAATCAGTCATAAGTAAACATGATATTAGAAACAGACATTTACAAAGTTAAGAAAAAGAAAAAAACCCTAACAAAATTAGTGAATTGCAAATATTTTAAAGCCATCAATAACAAGGACTAACATCTCTGTACATATGTACATTATCAGAGCTGCACACTAATGTTCAAGGATAACTCACCTAAGATCCATGCCATTATCTTTCCAAATTTTATCCATAATTCGAATCATCTGCAGAGTCAGCATGTCTTGCCGCAGATCATCGCCATACTTGTAAAGCAGGTATATGTTTTTGCCATGAGAATCTCCATTTTCAAACACAAGCCATAAGGGAGCCATTTTGCTGTCCTTGGTTTTGCATTCATCTGATCTAAAGACAGATTTAGTATGAAATCTTAAGTGAATTACAGAAATTACATGATACACAGTAAACATTCTCATAATGAATAAGATTTTTTTTTTTTAACACGTCGGTTGTCTCCCACCAAGGCAGGGTGACTCGAAAAGAAAGACAATCCCCAAAAAGAAAATATTTTCATCATCATTCAACACTTGCACCTCACTCATACATAATCACTGTCTTTGCAGAGAGCTCAGATATGACAGTTCAGAAATCCCTCCAAACTGTCAATACCCCAAACCCCTCCTTTAAAGTGCAGGCATTGTACTTCCCATTTCCAGGACTCAAGTCTGGCTAACCGGCTTCCCTGAATCCCTTCACAAAATATTACCCTGCTCACACTCCAACAGCTCATCAGGTCCCAAAAACAATTTGTCTCCAATCACTCCTAGTCTAACTTGTTCAACACATGCTTGCTGGAAGTCCAAGCCCCTTGCCCACAAAACCTCCTTTACCCCCTCCCTCCAACCTTTTCGAGGATGACCCATACATCGCCTTCCTTTCTCTACAGATTTATACTCTCTCCAAGTCATTCTACTTTGATCCATCTCTCTAAATGACCAAACCACCTCAACAACCCCTCTTCAGCCTTCTGACTAATACTTTTAGCAACTCCACACCTCCTCCTCCTATTTTCCACACTCCAAATTCTCTGCATAACATTTACACCACACATTGCCCTTAGACAGGACATCACTGCCTCCAGCTGCCTTCTTGTTGCAGCATTTGCAACCCAAGCTTCACACCATATAAGAGTGTTGGTACCACTATGCCTTCATACATTCTCTTCTTTGCCTCCATGGATAATGTTTTGTGTCTCCACAGATACCTCAACACACTGCTCACCTTTTTTCCCTCATCAATTCTATGATTAACCTCATCCTTCATAAATCCATCCAATGACACGTCAACTCCCAAATATCTGAAAACATTCACTTCTTCCATACTCCTCCTCTCCAATTTGACATACAATTTTTCTTTATCTAAATCATTTGATATCCTCATCACCTTACTCTTTTCTATGTTCACTTTCAACTTTCTACCTTTACACACTCTCCCAAACTCGTCTACTAACCTTTGCAAGTTTTCTTTAGAATCTCCTGTAAGCACAGTATCATCAGCAAAAAAGTAACTGGGTTAACTCCAGTTTGGTATTTGATTCCCCATAATTTAATCCCACCCCTTTCCCTAACACCCTAGCATTTCTTTCTATAAATACACCTACCATCCGACTTACGACCTGCTCGACTTATGACCACTCTACTTACGGCCGTGTTTTTTATGCCAAATTTCTGGGAAATAAACAACTATTTGTGTTGTACACAGTGTTTATCCTAAACCTTACAGTATAAAATACAGCACTAACAACATAAAAAGTAGAGTAAAACATGAAATACCAAAATAAAACAATAAAATAAAGTCATTACAAAAATGTTTTGTTGATATTCAGTAGTAAAGTTCGACTTACGACCATTTCGACTTACGACCGGTTTCTCGGAACCGAACTCGGTCGTAATTCGGATGGTAGGTGTACATTAAACAACCATGGTGACATTACACATCCATGTCTAAGTAATTTCCTTCTCTCCTACACACACTAACCTGAGCCTCACTATCCTCATAAAAACTCTTCACAGCATTTAGTAACTTACTACCTATTCCATATACTTGCAACATTTGCCACATTGCTTCCCTATCCACTCTATCATATGCCTTTTGTAAATCCATAAATGCAATGAAAACTTCCTTATCTTTATCTAAATACTGTTCACATATATGCTTCAATGTAAACACTTGATCTACACATCCCCTACCCACTCTAAAGCCTCCTTGCTCATCTGCAATCCTACTCTGTCTTACCTCTAATTCTTTCAATAATAACCCTACCGTACACTTTTCCTGGTATACTCAGTAAACTTATTCCCCTATAGTTTTCACAATCTCTTTTGTTCCCCTTTCCCTTTATAAAAAGGAACTATACATGCTCTCTGCCAATCCCTAAGTACCTTCCCCTGTTTCATACATTTATTAAACAAAAATACCAACCACTCCAATACTATACCATCCCCTGCTTTTAACATCTCTGTCACGATCCTGTCAGTTCCAGCTGCTTTACCCCTTTCATTTTATGTAATGCCTCACGCACCTCCCCACACTCACATCTTGCTCTTCTTCACTCCTAAAAGATGTTATACCTCCCAGGCCAGTGCATGAAATTACCGCCTCCCTTTCTTCATTGACATTTAAAAGTTCCTCAAAATATTCCCACCATCTACCTAATACCTCCAGTTCCCCATCTACTAACTCCATACTCTGTTTTTAACTGACAAATCCATTTGTTTCCTAGGCTTTCTTAACTTGTTTATCTCACTCCAAAAATATTTCTTATTTTCATCAAAATTTCCTGACAGTGCATCTAAAAATTAGCAAGGGGCTAGTAACCCCTTCTCCCATATAAATTACTAAATTTAAAAGAGAAACTTTCGTTTTTCTTTTTGGGCCACCCTGCCTTGGTGGGATACGGCCGGTGTGTTGAAAGAAGACATCTAAAAATTATCTCAATTTAAAATTGGGATGGCTGCTTGATCAAGGAATATATGGTAAAAATAGGGTTACATTCTAGGCACCCCCAAATTTACTCCCTCCTAATTTTTTTTATTGTACTGTACTACAAAAAATTATTAGTTATAATTTGCCTCACATTCTGTTTTTGCTGTTACTTGAAGTAAATTAAGAGTGCAAAGACGGTTAATAAAGACGTAGGGCCTACTGAGACGAGTTAGGTGTAGACAAGGAGGCTATTTTCCCAGCTGCTACAGTCAGGGATGCATAATGTTTATTTTTTACTTCTGGAGATTTATTAGAAGACAGACTCATGAGGTGAGTGGAACCACAACATTTATTCAAATCCCCACATTTAGTCTGTTAACACATTTCTTCATTTACATGTAATTATCTATACAATGTTGTCAGTGGCTGCCAATATACAATGTAGAATAAATATTAATTAGCTACAACACATCAGGTCTCAGCATTATTGTGCTTTATCATTTTCAGTATGATTATTACTTAAAACTGCCTCTTAATAAAGTGTTTCTTTCAACGCACCAGCCGTATCCCACCGAGGCGGGGGTGGCCCAAAAGGACAAATGAAAGTTTCTCCTTTATACATTTAGTAATATATACAGGAGAGGGGGTTACTAGCCCCTTGTTCCTGGCATTTTAGTCGCCTCTTACAACACGCATGGCTTACGGAGGAAGAATTCTGTTCCACTTCCCCATGGAGGTAAGAGGAAATAAACAAGAACTAGAAAGAAAATAGAGGAAAACCCAGAGGTGTGTATATATATGTTTGTACACCTATGTGTAGTGTGCCCTAAGTGTAAGTAGAAGTAGCAAGACACCTGAAATCTTGCATGTGTATGAGACAGAAAAAAAAAAAGACACCAATAATCCTACCATCATGTAAAACAATTACATACAGGCTTCCGTTTTACACTCACTTGGCAGGATGGTAGTACCTCCCTGGGCGGTTGCTGTCTACCAACCTACTACCTAGGTCCTAATAAAGTACCTAATATTAATTATTGAAAAATATGCTATGCAGTGGACAGTTTGTAAACTGGGTAAAACCAATGGAAGTTATTCAATGTTTCAAGTCAGTGGTATCATGACTTATTACTTGCATATTCTGAAGGCTGCAACTGTGTTACACAAGAGCTACATGCACTGTGGGTCACTGCTTATATAGAAGCTATATTTCCTGGAGGTGGTAAGTACAATCCCGCACCAAAAGGGAGGGGTTGGGTTTTTATTGGCTGTTGAGTGATATCCAAAAGTCATCCCTAACACTTCTGCAAAGCAGTGTTAAGTGAATGATGGTGAAAGTGTTCTTTTTGAGTCCCCCTGCTTTTATGGGAGATGGCCGTTGTTTAAAAAAAAAAAAATCCTTACAAAATTTTATCAAGGAAATAAAACTCCACCTTCCCAAAACATTAGGGAGGAAAATGCCTCCCCCCTTCTTGAAAAATTTACTACAGTTAAAAACATAAGGAACAGGGGGCAGCATCTGCTGGGGATTTTTTGCACATACATCTTCCCATTTTATTAGACAGCTAAAAAACACCACAAACTTTCTTTCTTTATTTTACTCCCCAAGGGGGGAGGGCCCAATAGAAAAATTGAAAGTTTCTCCTTTTAAATTTAGTAATATAAAAAGGGGGTTACCTGTACCTTGTCGTGGTGACCTGAAATTTTTTTAAAGACATGTTTGGGGCTCGTGAATCTGAACAAGATGTCCTCTTTGAGCAACTTACCAGCACTAAAAGAAGAACGGGAGGATGGCTAAGCCGGAACAGCGACGATGGGGAAAACAAGATGATTTGTAGCAATCCCCTTTGAGATCCTAAGCCAAAAAAGGGAACCGGACAGTGGCTGAAAGCATGGGACAAATTTAAAGGGGATCAAGGGAGGGTTTGGAGGGGAAATAAAACTAAACCCAGGAAACTGCTGTGGAAACATCAAACCCATTTCCGTGACCTAAAATTTTGAAAACATCACGACAATGAGCCAAAGGAAGGGTAAAAACATTTTTGTTGGGGGGATAGCCAGGTTAGGTAAATGGATATGCTCGCTTGAAGGATGAGTGGGGAGGCAGGGGCGTTTTTTCCTGGGGCTGGGATGAAGGATATTGTAGCTGTCGGATGATATAGAGAGGTAATGGGGACAACCTATTATCTGTCTCATGCTGGGGGGCAACGATGTTGGCAGAGTAGGAGTGAGGACCTGATTACAGTATAGGTAAAATTAGAGATAATTAGGAGGAAGGGGTGGAACCCGTCTTTTTGTGGAAACAGTGGCCCCCGCTTTTCGTAGTTCCCGGAAATCGTAAAATTCGCCAATCTAGAGGTATTTGAAAAACATGGATTTCGCTTTTCATAGGTTGACCGCGAGTCTAGTTCGTCCGGGAC